CCCAAACTATTTGTGAATGTCAGATTGACATTCAGATTGACAGGTATGAAGTTTGTGAGTTTCTCTGCAGTGAACAAACTTTAATGTTGCTCCTGTTTGAAATAAAATTGTCAGTGGTAGCTCAAGCAATGGAAAATTGCAGCAAAAATGTAGACCATTAAAATATGCTTCTCTCTAGTGAAAGCTCCTCTACAATCACAAGGGCAAATACAGTTAAAAAACCCCAAAACATAAGATCCTCCAGTAGGCAGAGGTTTCAGGATCACAGTCTTTAAAGGGGTCACTTAAAATACTTCTCTAGATAAGAGTGTACTATAACTGTGTTGGAAGCTGTCTACTCTCTGGCATCACTGCTTCCCAGACATATCTGTTAGCTGATATTGAAAATAATTCTGCATAGGATGCCCAAAGTTTAATCATGGCAGGTTTGCAGAACCCTTCACTGAAACCCAGATAACGAGAGATGACATGGTTCTAGGTGTTCACTGTTGAAAATGATAGAGGGAATACTCATTTAACTGCTTACTTCCTGGCCCAAGGGCATAATCAAGGCCAATTCCTTCGGTCAGCAGCCAGTGAGGATAAAATCAAGAACTACCTTGACACCACCTGGTTTAGTTACAGAGGCTTTGTGGGAGAGGGAGCCAACAGGACACAGTCCCTTGGCAGCACCAGGCTGCTCCCAGCAGATAGCTATGGCTCTTACTGCACTTTTCTCAGAGCTGCTTTAGCTGAGTCAGGATTTCTTTGCTTCCCTGCTTTTTTTATTTTTCAGTGGATGGCTCTATTTCTATCCCCTCTGGCTTGCCTTGCACCTTCAGCCAACATCAGTGTTCTACCTGCATTTATATTCAGTCTATTTAATAACTCCTCCAGCTCGACAGTTGACATTTCTGAGCAGCTTTACACCTCTAAGGAAGAAGTTTTTATTTCTTCCCTCAATTTGTTCTCTTTAGCCAGATCTGACTTAACAGTAATTAAAAAAAATTAAAGCATTCCCTGTTTTTGGCTTTCTCTACTGCACAGTGAAGTCCCAAGGATGCAATTCTATCTGACCAAGCAAAGCCTGGGGGGGCACACCTTCCCCTATGTATGTGTGTAATTTATTCATATATTTATATATTTATTTTAATATATTTATTTATATGCTTATATCTATATGTATGTATATTTATAAACTTGTACAGCACTTTTCTATTGGAAAATGTTCAGTCCCTCAACTCAAGCCAGTTTTACTTCAGCCCTGGGCAAAGCCCCTTGATTACTCTGGCAGAGCATCCAGGCAAAGCTCCTCTATCCTCTTTGTACCTACCAGCATGGTCTAGTTCACCTTCTGGTCCAGGGCAAAAGTCTATTGCCACCTGTCTGTTTTTATCAGCTTTTTACAAAATGAATTCCTATTGCTATTTTCAGTTTAGTGTCCTAAACCAGCTATGGGCAGGGTACTGTGCTCTGGCTCGTTACTGCCTCTCGTTGAAGAACTATCCTTTTGATAAAGTATTTCAGCAAAACTAACTGTTGAAACCTGTTTTCCAAAACAATTGAGGCCTTTCCATTCTGACATATGCAGGCCCATGAATCACAGCTGTCGGTTTTTTTCCTGCTTCTCCAGCTGCACAAAATTCACCAAGTGGCCACAACAGCATGCTGTTGACTGCAAAAAGGCTGAATTAGGCTTTATTTTCCTACCTGGGCACACTAATTTGGGCATGATCACACTGACCCAGCTCTTCAGTTTCACAGAACTTGTTTTTCTTGCTCGTAACCCTATGGAAGTAACTGGCCCATGGGTGGAAAAGTTAGTAGAGCAAGAAAGACAGACACCAATCTTCTCCATAAAAACTCCTCCACTCTGAACTATCCCCTAGGTGATTTTTTTTCTTCTCATTCTTACAAAGCTCACTTTAGATCTGGTGAATTATTCCTGAGGACAAGTTCAAGCTCCTGTTACAGCTTCTAGTTCCTTGTTGGGTACAGTTCAGGTCATCTTATTAATTTATGGTTCTTAGCCAAGCTGCTTCCCATCAGTTCTGCCTCCCTCAGCTCTTTTTATGGGACAAGAGCCAGGAAAGACTCAAGTTTCACAGTGAGTTTCACATCCTCTCTGACTGTCTCTGACCTCCCTTTGCTGCTCTCAATGGGGACATCAAAGTCCCGAGGTGGGTATTACAGATTCCCACATGGAGCACTTTCTGTGGAGCCAAACAGGCTGGATGCCACAGGATGTGGGAGTAACGTGGCTTTGAGTTTCTGGAATAAAATGTTGCATTGATGGAGGAAAAAAATTAATATCTTTTCTGTCCTAACCCTGAAGTTTGAAGAACTGCACCCTGCAGGTGTCTAATTAATGTCTGGTTAATCTCATTAAATCTCAGCTCTCACATTCTCACTCTTCCAGATTAACTTTTGTTTGCAGTTTCACCCTGACAAGATCTGTATAAAACATGTTGATTTCTCATTGCCTTCTGCAGCTGAAGGTTTATGCAAACCCAGTTCCTGTGAAGCAGCTCCTGCAGAGCCCTTGAAAATGAGAATACTGAAAAACTGAAGCTTAGCAGGATGAAGGGGGAAACAGCTAAGTCACATATTTTCATCCCAAATTACCTTTCCCTAACTGGGAGGAATTTCTAGAAAACAACAGATCTAATTTCTAAGAAACACTTTTAATGCCATCCATGTTTGCTTCCATTATAATCAATAATTGATATATTACATATTCTTACATATAATTTACATAATTTGCTTTTTGTCTACTGAGATGGGGGTATTCTACCTTGAGCAGTGAATTCTGACAGGCTGGTCCCATAGACTAGAAATACAGGTCTTAAATGCTAATTTCTTACATTTAGGTTACAAGTCAGGTTGCAAAGGTAAGAAATAAAAAAAGATGTCTTAAGATTTCAGATCTATTATGGACAATGTGGTGGTTTTTTTTTACTACCAAACACTCCCAGCTCATTTAAATAATTAGTAGCAAATACCTGAAGCAACTCAATAGACAAAATTAAATGTTTCCACAAGTTTTCTCACTCCCAAAAGCTGTGCTGAACTAAACAAGCATTTTTCCTGATGTTTCTAAACAATTGTTTCAAGTTCTGCAACCTGAAAATGACCGTAAACTAAATTTTTATTACTATCTGGTGTCTAGCAGACACTTTTATGAGTAAAGAACAGTTGGACAAAGAAAAACTAACGCTCTGCAGGGAGTTTCAGCTTTTCTGGTAACAGACGACCATTTACATGAAGATTCCAACTGTTTCTGATACAGAGTTATCTCCTCTTCTAAACTGACTTAATTTTTATTAAGTAACTCCACGAGTAAGTTGCTTAAAACTATGATCAATCATTAATTCTTTGGATTCTTTCTTTCCCATCACAGCCGATTATGGCAACACCTCCTACAAAAAGAACTTGTGTGGATGCTGTGTGCCACAAACCACAAACCCAACAGCTGATACCTATTTTCAAAGTAAATGAGAACTGGTTTGTGGCTCACAGATCTATCTTCTGGCACAACTGCCATTAGCACCATTTAATTCTGGTTTCCAGAAGACCAGCTCCACAAGTAAAAGACAATTTTAATTAGAGGCAGACCCTCAATACTTTCTCCCTCCTCAGCACTTTTTAACTTTAGTTTCAAATCATTAATGGCTGAGATGTCAATAAAATTATAAGATGATAAAATTTCAGTTTGGTGCCTGATTAGATTCTGTGGACTCCAATTCTGAAATAATGATGCAAAATGTCACTGAGTCATAATATGTCTAATGCATGCGGTTCTGCATTACAACCCTCAAACCCAGTCAACCATTAATTCCTCTCCTTTAATTATCTCTTATTTAGCATCATTCATTTAATTAAGAATTACCTCCAAAAAAAATTTTACAGTATCAACCCAAATACACTGTAGTAGTCTTGATATAGATATGTTAAACCCACAGCCCTTAAGAATATGTATGATCTTGAAAGATGAAACACTGTAGTCTAGTCAGTAAAAATATTCCCCCTAAACCTTTGTGAGTGGACCTTGTAACGCTCTTCTTTATCAGGCAACAGAGTTCCATGTCAGCTTATTTCACTTGCAAGCTGTCTGTTGTAATTCCCTACAGTGCTCCAGTAACAATTTCTGTATGAGAATAGGAATTGCAAAACAAGCTCACAGTGGCATAAAGATATTAACAGCTATAACCACAAATAAAAGGTCCTTGATTAATACAATACCAAACATTTGTTAAGCGCACTTTAAAATCATGGAATCATTTAGGTTGGAAAAGGCCTCCAAGACCATGAAGTCCAACAAGTTACTGAAATGTTCTAAACCCAGTATTTTCAGTCCATTACATGTTGTTGGTGCTAAGCTAAACATAAACATTTTGAAATCAAGTGATGTGGCAGGTTTAAAGGTGACAAAATATTTCTGTCTTGAATTTGGCAGTCCAGATGGAGGACTTCAGAGGTATAATGAGCAAGTTTCTACTGAGAAACAATTTTAAAATAAAGTAATAGCAGCACAACCAGAATTTTGTCTTCTTTTTAACAAGGACAGTACTAACAGTTGAGTTAGCAGGGCCACATGAAACGAGTGGGGCCACCTGCAGGAATGAAAAAGTCCAAAGTTTACAGATCAACATGAATCTTTCTGATTTAAATACCACTAAAAGCATAAAATGAACCATTTCATAGAGCTCTGCTTAGTCCAACTATTAAGTTTTCATAATTTTTTTTCTAATCAAAGCATCACTTTGAGATTTACAATGAAGATGTTAAAGAAAGCTGCTTAAGAAAGAAAGGACACCCAGTTCCAGTTTAAAAGTAGAAACACACAGCCAAGTATTGAGTCAAAGAACATGCACCTTCAGAATATAAAGTGAGTGCCTTCTTCCTGTTCTGAGCTTCTGACCTTAAGAGAAAAGAGAAAAAACGGCAGGTGAACTGCTTGCACCTGAATGACATTACAAATGGCTTTCTGAAAAATTAAGAAGTCAACAGGCATTAGCTGTATAACATTTTTATTTTACTATATTGACATTTTATGCACAAATATTTTATCAGAGTAAAAATAGAAAATAATTGTTTCATGTAAAATTACCAAAAAAAATGCAAAACACAAAAGAAATACGTAATTATTAGCAGAGTATAAGTGTCTTTATTTAAAGAGTAAAAAGTATGCAAAAAACGTTGTTTTACAAAAATTGGGAATATTCTTTCTGTGTTTTCCTTCTGGCAGCAACAGAACAACCTTTGACAATATATTCTACATCTTTTGTTTCATTGAAGACATCAAGTTAGTCACAGACTTCTCCCTCAACTACAGAGAATATGATGATGATTTCATACCATTTGAAAGATTCTTTCTTTACTAATTAGAACTTGGTGGAAAAGCAGATGGAGGCACAACAAAGAACCCAAAGGACCATCACACCTACTAAAAGCTGCAAAACAATAATGGGATGTATTTACAGACAAAGGGTGGGAGCAGGAGTTTCCCCCACTGGACTCATCATGTAACAAGAACATGCAGGGGAATAAAGTTTTGATTAAATTAAATTTCAATTTTGCTGTTTATCTTCCCATAGCCTAGTTTGATATAGAAAGCTGGTATTTTAAGCTTCTCTTATTATACTGTATTTTAACTAAAAAGGCTTCTCAACCACTCTGCTAAATAGAACCAGTGACTTGTACTGGACTTATGTTTAGTAATTAGAGCTGCTGCCACCAAACTACCACCCTGACATCATTCTTGGTAAGCAAACCCTCATCTCTCTGCACAAGCCACCTTGAACACCTGCCAACTGGTGGCATCAGACTGCTCTAATATCAATAAATGGACTCATGTTGACCTCTCATGAACAGATGCACTTATATTTTTTGCTCAGGGTTTATGACTTTTTTTTTAAAGCAAAGTGAAGCCAGCATGCTCAGCAGATGGAGTGCTTTGAGAGCTCCAGAGCGAAAACAATAGAGGTACCGAAAGAATCTGGCAAAAAAATTTTAATTTTATATTCCTGGTGATGATGAAAAAAGTAAGCTAGAACTACATGCAAAATTTCTAGTCAAGCAAAAACTATCTGGAGATGAGCATCCACCTACAAACAAAAAGCTTTGTCCTCAAACACATCTTTAAAATACATGAGTCTTGACGTTTTCTCCCTTCTGCCTCCAAGTGTGACCATTCCTGCTCTCCCTACTCAGCACAAACACACTTTATGTTCAGAACCTCACTGTACAGGGACTTTGGGTTTAACAGTAGCTGGATCCCTCAAAGAATTAAAGGTCTTCCCTTTTAATTGTTAAGTGTTACCAGAGGGACTTTCACTTACAAAAAGTTGGTAAATATCAGTGGTGACATAATAATTATACTGTTCAGCAACAGGAAGGGGAAAAATCAACCCCCAAATCACACCATTTTCAGCCATCAAAAGCAGCACTCATAGGCACCAGTACAGAAGCTAAAAAGCTGCAGCCTGCTTTTTACTGTATGTGTAAGTTTGCACGAAGCATAGCTCAGAATTCAGGATACGTTCCAACTATTTCTAATTATCATCCCCTCTTCAAATTGCACCCAGCTCTGGGTCATGCATTTGGCTTAAGAAGCTTTGAAAATACCACTTGAAGTTCAGAGAGAAATAAATTTTAAATAAAAAATGCCTCTTTGTATTTTAATATATACCAGACTGTACAATGATTGGGAAATCAAACTTCAGCTCTCTGTAAACTACTTTCAAATTGCTTTTTGTTCCTAACCAGGGACTACTGACTGTGATTAACTTAAGTCTTAGCATACTAAGGTTGACGACTGTGCTGGTTTCAGCACCTTGCAGAACACAGCATTAACCCCCCCCTTCCCCCAAAAAACCCAAACTGCTCTTTGGGTGAGGGCTGTTTTTTCAAGTTTTTGAATGACCTGATGGGGGGTGGTAGTGGGGGAGGAAGTTTATCTTTGCTTTTTGCTAAATGGCAAATGTCAACGACATATTTCAAAACAGGTATTTGCCCTCATATATGCATATTATCTACATATTACAATGAAATACTCATAATTGGCTTTTCACCTAAGCCAGATCTAAACCTGGATCTCCTTCTTCAGCACTGATCTCCAGTTAAGCCTAGTCTTAGTTTCCTTTGCTACTCCAGAAGCTATTTTAAGAACCTGATGCTTTGTAACATTGAGTGTGTCTTTTGGCTCTGCTTGATTAACTGAGAATAATGAACACATTTTAACTTTGAAAGCATCAAATGCCATTTGGTAGTTCAGCAGAGAACAAAAGACTGGGAAGGGCTGTGTTCAGACAACTGGTCAGCCTTTTTGCTGTGAGGACTTATTTTTGTTAGAAGTGCTGCAGAAATGACTTTGCACAGCCATGGTCACAGAACCTGCAGCGGTTCCAGCTCTCACCAGCTGCACACCATGGAGGCCCTGACTCACAGCTGCAGAAGTTGAGGGGATCCCTTAACTTACATTGAAATATATGCTGTTAAAAGATCCAAATTTATGCGAGTCCCAGTTCTTTATAGAAAACCATGCCCTACATTGTACAGTCAAGAAACAAAGGAAGTTTCCAATTCTGATAAAGATGGGAGCAGCAACTGCTCTGGTTGTAGAGGAAAGGCCTCAGGTTGCCACTTTGAGGTCCCAGTGCTTAGTTATCTTTCTCTGCTTGCAGGGATGCTGTAGCCAGTGCCACTGCTGTCACTGGCTGTGCGATGCCGTGGAGCTGCATCTTGGCCAGTTTCTTCTGCTCGCACTCCGTGACCAGCCGGTTCAGCTCGGCCGCGCTGTACCCGATCAGGGTCTTCAGGTCACACACAAACTTGTACACAAACCTCTTCCCCTGCACTTTGCAGATCATGTCTCCGTCATAGTAATACCTGCAAAAGGGAAATGAAACCCTCAAGGCAAATTTCCAGCACCTGTGATTTCCATATACATCAGTTATTTATTTAGGGTCACTCAGAGACCAAAATTTTCTCATCGAGATTCTCATAATTTCACGTACCAAGATAGTATTTAGGCATTTTCTTACATGAGAAAAGGGAAGAGGGTTGAAAATTGTCCCTGCACCTTGATATGTTAAGGAGAAATGAAACACAGTAATTATTTTATAGGCAGTCAGAAGCACCAGTTCAGAAATAAAATTCTTAGAGCAGTTTAAAAACAGCTTGAGGGGGAAGAAGTTATATATATAGTTTATATGTCAAACTTTATAGCTTTGCCTTAGTAAGAAAATATTGTCTCCCCATTCATTATTCTCCTTTGCTTTACTCTTGTCTCTGCTTTTCTGAAGAAAAAAAAATCGTGTTGGAAACAGGTTGCAAATTAGCATTGTGGTTTTTATGATAGGAAAGCAGCCATTCTCCCCCTACTGTTTTCAAAGGTGGTAAGAAAACTATAAAAGTATGGGGTGGATTTGGGGGGTTTTTGTGTTGTGTTGTTTGTTTTGGTTTGTTTTTTTTGTTCCTTTTTTTTCCCCCTTTTTTTTTTTGTCTTGTAGTTTTTTGTTCGTTTTTTTTGTTATAGTTCATATGCTGGCAAAGCTAGATCTTCGCCTTCATTTACAACTACAAGTGACTTCTCTAATTACAAATACTTTTTACATTGTGTGACAAAAGAATTCTCAGACTGGGCAGAAATGCAGTAAGATAAAGTCCACATGACCCCCTGTACCCCAGAGATGCTATAAAACTTTAGGTCGCACTAATAAAACAGAAGTTAGAATTGTGCAGTTTTGTTGCTGCCCTTGTCTCACTGGAGGCATTAACAGAATGCCTGTCACATTTCTCATTAAGCAAAACTAAGTGGCTGGGATGTAACTTGGATTTGATGTGTTTAAGAAGCTTGTGATAAATTTGGAAAAAAAACCCCCAAAATCCAGCCCAACCAACCAACACAAATCGCACAATTTAACTGCCTCAAAACCATCACCCAAATGTGGCACAAATTAACCCAGATTTCTTGGCTGTCTAAAACTCAATCCTGAGTGACATGCTTATAAAGGAAAGATGATCCTCATTCACTGGAAAAATTGAGTCAATTACAAGGGCAAGTTTGTAAAATGTGGCCAGGGCATGTCAAGTGCCAGTGTCCATAACTGTTTTAAAGTTAGCATTTACATTTATTGTACAATCCTGTACAATAATGCCTGTCTCAAAATAACATAGAAAAATGCTTTACAGAGCTGAATATACTTCAAATTATTTAGTCTGCATTACTGATATTATCAGAAAGGAAAAGGACCCCAAGAAATCAGATGACATTTATGTGAAGGCTCAGAACAATGCAAGGCTAGAAACACTCAAGTTGAAATCAAGGCAATGTGGCAAGAGGATATTTTCAATATTATGCTGAAGGTGTTTCTGATTACAGCATTTGCTTGTTCAAAAATATAGAAAACTAAAAATAAATACCCATGCAAGTTTACAAAGCCTTAGTTACTGGAACCTTCCAAGACACATGAAAACGTTGTTTCAGAAGAATACAGAGGACGAATTACTTTCCTTGAGTCTCACTTCCCTACTGGATAACTAAGCAGATGCTGATTTTTAGAAAATTTACCAAGGTATGTGTAACAAAAAAAGCTGCTCTTCCCCTTCTCCCCCTGCCCTAATTTCTATATTGGCTGCTTTCCCTACAGCTGGGCAGAAGAGCCAGCACGTTTCTCAATAACAGCAACATCATTTTCTGTATTAACCAACAACTGACACAGTGATTTCAGTACATTAGCAAACAAAACACATCACTGCTTAATACAACATTAGCTTGGCAACAATGTTTATCATGGGAGCAGCAAGAGCCATTAAATATCCTTTCAGACATTTAGGTGTTAGAAAACACGTCAATATTGATGCAGCTGCCAAAATGGCAACACTTTGAGGAATGTGATTTCTGTAATTTTGTGACTAAAATATAAACACAAAACTTCTCTAATAGTGATTTATGCAAATGATTGTGCAGACATCCCTTTAATATCCCAGGGATAAGAACATTATTCTGAAGTTCTTCATCTGCCTTCAAGATCTTCTGCAGAGTTTGCTGACAGAACCCAAAAAACATTAGCACAGTTTAAATGATTTTTATGTTCCAGAATGTTTTCATACATGCCTTCAGTACACAAACTCAAAGATACACAAAACCAGGTTGAAAACACGGGAATGGTACTGCAACAATACAGGCTGGGCAGCAGCTGTACTGGGAAGGTTCTGCTTTGGGCAGGAGGTTGGACCAGGGACCTCCTGAGGCCCTTCCAACCCAAGGGACTCTTGAAAAAATTAACATTCTAATTTAACATATAAATAATGCAAGAACAGCCACACAGGGCCAGACTAAAGATCCATCTGGAACAGGAATAGACTCCAAACAGACCAAAATATGACACCTAAGGAAAACCAAGAGAGTAAATATATATCAATGTTCTTCCTTGCTTTCAATGAGCTGAGGCTCAGGAACTCTTAAAAGTTGCATCTTTCCACACCTAACATCCTCCAAAATATTTCCTTTTCATTAATTTTTCAACTTCCCTCTCAAACACATAAAATAATTCTGGCATCCACAATATTGTGCCCAAGGAAATTCCAAGACAAATGAAAGGGTATAGGTAAGCTGTGTATCTGGTGCCTGCCAGATGTTAATTAAATCCTCCCTACAAGACTAAGAAAGCCAGAATATGGTAACTTTACCATCCTTTCTTACAGAGGTATTTTTTAAGTAGAAATTGATTTTTTTTAAACAATGCTAGAGGCATTTACTTAAAAAAAAAAAAATCAAAACCCAATGACAGAAAGCAGTCAAAAGTGAAAACACTGAAGAGCAAATCACAGATCTCAGACTTCAGTCAATATGCAACTTCACTCATATAAACAGAATTCCTAAAACTGCTTAAATAATTTGCAGGATTAGGCAATAAACACCTTTCTTGAAAACAAATCAGGAGAAATATATTTAACCATATCACAGCAAGAAATCAGAAGTTCACTCTTAATGATTTCAGGGAATTTGGATGAAGTTTCAAATGCTTCCAGAGACCAAAATAATCAGGGAAAAGAAGTCTAAAATTCAGGTACTTGCACTATTCCCCCTCCTGGAGTACATCCCCTACAGTGATTCAGTAATACAGGTCCCTTTTACCAATGTCAAACTACAAAATCACACTGGAATGAAGACACTGAAACCTTTCCATTTCTTCAGATGAGGAAAGTTCACTGAGATGTTGAATCGCAGCTGTTGAAACTTACCTGTCACCTGCACTTTTCAATTTAACACCCTCACAATAAGAACAATGAAAGGGATTAATGAATATGTGAAGTTAGAAAAGGCTGTTAAGTACTAACGATTACATAATTACAGGAAAGTATCTGCTTTATTCTTTAACAAGAGCAAGAGGAACGAGAACAGTAAAACATAAAAAATAATAATTCACACATTTCTCTTTCTTTCACCAATAATCAATATTGTCTGACATGCTACTAAGAGCATAAATGCTGAAGATAGAGAAAAAAACCCAACATATTTCTGAAAGTGAGCTACCCAAATTAACAATCTTGAAGCAAGTCTATTTTCTTTTAATCTGATGGGAAGAACAAGCTTCAGAAGATTTATTTATTCCTTTATTAAAAGAGCTGCAAGTCTTGCACTGTGACAGTTAAAGATGAAACAGCCAAATGAAAGCAAATCACATCTAAGTCCCTGAAAGTTTCTTACCTCAAGGCCCGACTAAGCTTCTCGTAGTTCATCGTGGGCTTGTTTTTGCGCTGTCCCCACTTTTGTGCAACCAGTTCAGGTTGATTCAATTTAAACTCTCCTTCGTCCCCAACCCAAGAGATACAGTCCCGAGCGTCTTTGTCAGTGAGAAGTTCTAACAAAAACTGCCACAGCTGGATCTGCCCATTGTTCCCTGTTGAAATAGGAGCAACAAGATCCATTTCAACTTGTCTTTTTTTTATGTTCCCCTCACAGAATAAAAATTTTCAACCAACATATTTAAGCAGAACGACACAGAATATAAGACGGAAGGAAAACCTGCACTTAATTAATCTCTTCTAATGATTCTTTTGCAAACATTTTCCTGGAAAGTCACCAGTATCCATCTATTAAAAAACTGATGAATTCAGGAAAAAGTTAATAAAAATTTTTCATAAATCTGTCCCTAGAATTTAAAAGAAAACCCCCAAAAAACCTCCACTGAACAAAATCACACAACAAAAACCCCCACAAAACAAAATTTAGACACATATTTATCTCTAAAATAGAACAGACTTAGCAGGAGCTGCTTATTCTTCTTCACACATTCCTCTTCTATAATAGAAGCTGTTTTTTTAAAATGTAATTTGGTCGAAAATTTTCAACATGAAATATTAAAAATACAAAAGAAACTCCCAAACTTAGCTTCCATCAACATCTTTCACCTCCAATCATTAAGATTTCTTTCTAACTCAAGGACCTGTAGTAAAATTCCTAAATTCTCAATGAGATAAGGAGAGCAGACCTGATGACTAAGGAGGGAAATACAAAGTATTCCCTGCTAATGTCAGCCATTAAAATCTTGGCCTAAGAATTCTGAATGACATAATTATAGACTTTTATGGAAAATCTGAAACAAACAAAAACTAAAGGAGAGGAAAGGATTTAACAGAAAAACTCACAACAGTGGAGAGAACCAAAACAAAAATGACAGCAGAAAAAATAAGGTAAAGAAATTAAGATCTGTTAGTAATAATGAAAAATTATGGAACAAGTAACAGTAATTCCAAAAATAAACTGCAGATTTAGTGTGCACTTTTCCAGATGTGCATTCTTTTAACTAAACAAGAAATATGAAACTTGCTAAATTTTGAAGTCACCAAACTGGGGGGGAACAGAGGAGAAGGGGAACAAGTAGAGCAAATACCAGTTAGGCAAGGTTTCTACAACATACAGTTTATTTTTGTCCCCTTTCTGCAAATGGAAAGAAGTTAAAAGCTTGAAGAAAAGCTATGCAGGGGTTTCAGAGGACAGACTGTTAAAGGATGGGGAAAAGAAACCATTTCATGCATTTTATTTACTGCAGCACTGAAAAACTGCAGCACCACATTAACATGGTGCCTGTGTGAGCTGACCAACCTGCCAGGTTGGTAAGCTCATGCTTACCACGCATTTTGTTCCTTTCCTACCACACGGACTCCTACAAACCTCACATTTGGTGCAACAAAGACGTGTTCCACCAAACTGTAATTCAAATTAATGAGTTAGTGTTCGCTGCATTTGCATGTAAAAATAATGGAGACGGTACCTGTTCTGTTCCCAGGGGAACTCCTGTCTTCCCCAGAGATCCTTGGAGCTCTCTGCACTTTGGCTGCCTTTGCACTGCTGTTTATCACTTTAATGGTGGTCGGGGTAGCAGGTTGTACAGACGCTGGAATAATCTGCACAGCTGTGGAGCAGAGAACGTTGCACAACATCAATTATAAATCGCACAGAAGCACATATATTTTATTTATTACCTGTATTATCAAAACATCTAGAAGCTTGGTTTTTTTTTCCTTTGCTAAAAAGGCACACCGCATAAGTCACAATGCTAAGTATAATTTAAAGAGTTTTTATCTCTTACAGTGAAAACTGTAGTTTTAGATTCGTTGTAGAAGTGTCACATTACAGAGAAAACATCAGCTTTATTTTACTATCATGTGTATTAATGTTTCCATAAAAAAAAACTCAAACACCCTCAAGTCTTTGTTTTCATCTTTATGCTGTTCCCACATGATCTGCCCTAATGCCCTTTTCTCTGCAGTCACTGTACCACCCTCCAAACCTGGTATTCAAACAGTAAACACCCTTCTATTACCATGGAGGAGGATCCAAATGCCCTACTCGAGCTGGCTTCAACCAGACACAACCCCAGGACGTAACACACAGTCTGTCTATTTAATTTAAGCTGCTAACAAGTCTTCTGAAAATTGATTCATTTTAATAATTGACGGCACTTTTTCAGCTGAAAGAATGAGCTTCAAATAACAAATAACTTCAAATACATTAAAATTTCTTTAATGTATTATTTCTAGTATTGGTTTATAAGTAAGTTTTCCCTTCCACATGCCCCTTCAGTTTTTGGAAATCCTTTTATTTTTTTTTTAAATTAATACTTTGATATATCTGTTCATTAATGCAATATATAACCTAAAACCCCAGAATAACTAAAAACCTCAAATATGTATCCTAGACAGCTTATTTCCAGTGGATGGAAAATCTACCATCCCAAATGGAAGTTATAATCTTCCACAGTTCAGGTTATACACCACCTCTCAGTCACTAACAAAACATAGAGAAACTCAGCATTATGTTTGGAAGTTTAAAATATGTCCTTCTCCCCTTGGAAAACTACTCTCTTAAGTGATTATCTCAATGCTGTACTATCACAGAGCTGAACCACAGTACAGTGCAAAACCTGCAAACGGTGAGAGTTAATGCTGATAGAAGCACTTACGCTGATCAATAGTAACAGTTGCTATTTCTCCAGTGTGTTCTTGACTAGCCAACACATCTGCAAGTCAGAAACAAAACCAGTACGTTTTTATTTAACCTACAAATTTCAAGTCACTGAAGATCAAAAGCTTTCATCTTTCACAGAGGAAAAAAGTCAAAATTTGGTATCCATCTACATGGATAGCTCATGGTCCTATGAGTAGAGGCATTTAACATCTGTCACTCAATTTTTAGAAATAAGGATGTACATGGCAAATTTCAAGGTATTTCATGCATTTTCCATCCCTTAAAACCTTTAGCTATATCATGTAAATGAAGATGGAAATGGCTTTTAGTCTGCCAAATTACATCCAAGCATGGTAAATCTGAAATGCAGATACATTAATGTATTAGGCCCATACAACGCATCACTCATCAGTTGTGTTGTGTACCACATAAGGATTTCATTGCCTCTGCTTAATAATCTTTACTTCTATATGACACAGAAATGTTCACTTAATAACTCATAATCGGTATTTAATTACACATCAAATTCAGCAGATGCACAAACTACAGATCTCTATTAAAAACAAAGGAGGAATCATCAGTCACTACCTTCTACTAATGATGAAGTTTGATAAAAGACAGGCAGTGTTTAGCATGCAGACATCTTCCATGGCAGCAGACATTCTCTCTAATACCTCCTGTAACCTCATTTTTACTCGCAATATTAAGTAAAGGAAAAATAACTGCTCACAATTGGTTTCGTCTTTAAAGAAAGAAAGGGAAACAGAGAAGTGGGGAGGGGGAATAAGTAAAACCAGTTACAGAAAATTCTGCCATACACTTTCGGAGAAGCTCCAGGTGGCTCCAGAGGATTTCTCCCCGTGGGACACGGTGGAAGAAGTCTTCCTGGCTGAGGCTGCAGAGCTCCCTCCCAGGAATGCTGAGCGTGCAGAGGTCGATGTCGGTCATGCTGAACTCCTTCATCACCCACACCACCCAGTGCAGCACATGGTCTGTCGACCACTGCACGGGGTCTGCAGAGAGAGGGATGAAACTGCAAATCACCTCATTATGTACTGCAAGGTCCCTCCTCAATTATATAACTTCCATAAAAGTAAATGTGTAACATCAAGAAGTAGAGTTACCATCCAGAAGCAGAGTTACTGTGACCAAATCTGACTGGAAATTTGACAGTTCTTAAAATGCAGAGAGAGTGGTGTGGGGTGGTGGAGAAATGGAAAGGGCAAAAAGGGGATATTCTTTAGTAAACATTTTTACATCAGAACAGAGCCTCACGTATCTCAAACACAGAAAATAATTATTTTTCTTTTTCCATGCATCTTTACTTTCAAGAAAAGAGTAGTCTCTCTCACACAAGGATACTCTCCTCAAACATGCTGATCAGTATGCAATTCTGACAAAATACTACATTATCCCAGTTTCTACAATAACAAGTCACCACTGTACTGTGTTTGGCTGGGATGGATTAATTTTTCTCCTCATCATACTGTGTTTTAGGCTGGTGACCAAACCAGTGTGTCATAGGTTTACTTGTTCTAAAAACCAAGCAGGGAAGTTTTCTTTCCCCCGCCTCGCTGTAAAAGAAAGATGTTGAATGGGGGAGGGTGGTTTGCTTCGGGTGATTGATCCGCACAAAAGAACTAAGTGGCAGGCCTGAATTCCAAGCTGACTGTGGGGAGGGGGGATGAGTTTTTTTTTACTTCTCTCCTGGGAAACCGGGGGCACTTCACTTTTGCCCTAACTCGGCCAAGGTGTGTGCTGGGGGGACTCCGAGATCGTTTTGTTCTCGGCCTGGTCACCTGGCTGTTTTCTGACCCTGGCTTGCCTGCACCCTGCTCTGCCCCTAGCTCGGATTTCATGGGGAAGGCCTGACCTATCTTCAGGGGAATTTTCTGGGGAGCAGGTTGCCCTTTTCCCTCCTCCGCTCCCGCGTTTGGCAGCGCTTTGTGCCCGTCGACGAAAAGGGGGAAATCCCGGCCACAGCCAGCTGCAGGCAGCGTTTGAGTATTTGTGAGAAAAACCTGCCTTCTTTCCCCTTTTCCCCTTCCCCTTCCCGGTGGGGGGGCGGGATCTCCATTTTCGGCTTCTCCCGTGAACCGGAGCCTCGTGTGGGCACCGCCGGGCCCAACAGCGCCCCCTGCCGGCCAACACCGAGCACCGCAGGCTCTGCTCCCCCAGAGACCCAACAGCGCCCCCCGCCCATCCTGGATGGAATTGCGCCAAAGGACGGGAAGTACCGAACCGCTTCCCTTTTGAAGGGGATTTCCGGGTACAGGATTATTGTTTAGTTGCTTTTGTTGTTCTGCCAACACACATAAATCCTTTAGTAAAGTGTTATTTTTCCTTTCTCCACACTTCCTCAATTGGAGCCTCTTAATTTCGGATTTACAATTTGCTTAGAGGGAGGAGTTTGGTCTTCCTCATAACTCAAGTCCTCCTTAGCAAAACACTTCTAACTCATTAAACTGAGACAGGGGATCTTCTTTAGTAAATGATTTTACATCAGACCAGACCCTCACGTATCTCAAACACAGAAAATAATTATTTTTCTTTTTCCATGCATCTTTAGTTTCAAGAAAAGAGTAGTCCCTCTCACACAAGGACACTCTCCTCAAACATGCTGATCAGTATGCAATTCTGACAAAATACTACATTTTAAACTCGTTCACATTAATCCAGTTTCTACAATAACAAGTCACCACTGTACTGTGTTTGGCTAGGATGGATTAATTTTCTCCTCATCATGCTGTGTTTTAGGCTGGTGACCAAATCAGTGTTACTAACACTGAGATGTTCTGGCTACTGCTTAATAAAGGGCAGTTACACAGCATCATTTTTCATGGATGCTACCTAAAACCATGTAATGTAATCCTTTGGCAAAAGACACACCACAAAGGGTTTGGTCTTCAAAACATTATCAGCAGTGACTTTTTGCTAATTTGGTCTCATTGACAGAACACAACCTGCAAGGAAACATAAATCATTACTTTTCCCTAACCACTTTTGTGGTTTCCAAGCTTCTGTTGCTCCCTTTTCTGGCTTTGTTTCTCTTAACAATTAATACTTTCCTTCTTCCTAGGGACCTTTGCAATGGCACCAAATATTTGGATTCTAATGGCAGAAATTCTTGTAAATAAAAATTGTAGAGATAAGAAATTGTAATCTCTAATAAAACCCACCAAAACATGACACAAAGAGAAAGCCACATTTTAAAGACCTGCTATAAGCTCATTCTCCATTTGCAGCAAAGCTGAGAAGCCTGTAAGGATGAAAACACTGAACAACTACCTTTACAGATGATTATTTACTGACTGGACTTGACTTTTAATATCGACACCCTGTACTCTGAAACATTCAAGGAATAGTTTCAGATTATACTGTAGAACCTAGGGGTACCTGATTTCAGCCCAAGTCCCTGCAATATCTACTCAGAAAACATTTAAAATTTTATTCTTTTCAGAAAGGCAGTTTAGCATATTTTTCAGATGTCAAGGGAACACAATTATTCATAATAGAGAGACCTCTGTCATAATGACCTAGCATGACTTTCCTGAAAAATCTGCACTCCTATGACCCAAATTACATTAAACTTTTAAAGCCACAGCTGTGGGTTATAGGGTTTTCTTAAAGCATCAACATTATGAAAGTTTATTAAAAACATTATCAACATAACATCAGTTTAAGTAATTTTCTTCTGATATTAATGTGAGAGCATGCTTAAAAGTATTAGTTTGCTCCTGATAATCCCTCACTTTTTTTTCCCAACATTTTGCGTCAAATCCCTGATTATCAACAGACACAATATGATGAAAACTATTTTTGAAGTGCTTGCCAATAAGAACAACAACAAAACGCCATGAAAAAGCCATTGCTTTAGTTATCAAAAATACATTCAAAATATCTGCAAGCTACATGTCCTGCAAAGACCTGTGACTTGACTGGAATCCTTAAACACTTCCGAATATCCCACTTGCCAAATACATTCCAGTTTTACGGGTCTGCTCAGATACTACAGCTTCCTGTGCTGAATATGCCTTGACAGTAGATTTCTGACAACCACAAGAAGCAACTGAGCTAAATCATTTCCTGAACATGATACAGGTCTAAACCCCACAGTTTCCGCTCAATTTTAAGCAGGCATTCAGAGATGTTTGTTTCTAAGCTACCATTAAAAGAGGAGCCTGCTAAGTAACAACATTAATTCAAAGGAGATGATCATCTACCAGAATATGTACTGTCAGTTCTGAATCATCTTCCTTCAGTATGCTGAAGTCCAGTATGGCTTTCCATGCAAAATCTGATTTAACACCAGATTCAGCATCCTCCCGTCCATGAACAATTTGTTTCGCTATTTTAAGAGCAACCTCCACCAAGTACTGAGTCCAGTTCAATTTCACACACATGTTAGGAACTTTATCATTAACATACACCTTATTAAGGAGGGTAGGAAAAAGAAAAGGGCTTTCTAAAAACTGCATTGACAAAAAGGTTATGGAGCAAAAAATTCTGATTTAATAAAACTCTTACAAGCATTCACTGTACTCCTCTTTAGTCTTCAGATTAGGTACTGGGAAAAAATTATTTCCTGTGAGGGTGGTGAGGCCCTGGAACACACTGCCCAGAGAAGCTGTGGCTGCCCCATCCCTGGAAGTGTTCAAGGACAGGTTGGATGGGGCTTGCAGCAAGTCAGTTTAGTGGGAGGTGTCCCTGCCCATGGCAGGGGGGTTGGAACAAGATGATCTTTAAGGTCCCTTCCAAACCAAACCATTCCATGATTCTACAATTCCCTTATGCAGATACTTGCACTGTACTTACCCACACCCTAAGCTGCCTTCTCTGAGGGCCTGAGCACCAATCCCTCAAACACAAGAACTCAGACCCTGCCCAAAACACACACCACGCTGTGTGTTATTACCGTAGGGAATTCCAAGGCGCTCCTGCTCCTTCCGGTAGCCTTCCAGTGCTGCAGCCCATCGTGTCACTTGCTCAGAGGTTTCATCTGAAATTGTTGCAATATGTTTTGTTCCATCCAAGGTTATCACTTGAGCTTCCTCAACGAGGTGAGCTTCAGCCTCTCCAGCATGAGCATCTGGATCAATCACCACCTCCACTGTCTCCACAGGCTTCACAATTTCAAGGATGTTCAACTTGGGCTCTATCCCTAGTTATGGGAAGAACAAACAAACACAAAACAAAGCTGGTAATGTCAATATCACAAAAATATTGTTTTAAAGCTTTCTGATTAGTAGGATTTAGCATACTCAGGGAAGAAGCAGGACACAAAAACAGCATTAAATTTCTGTGAGAGTCCTAAATTAGAATGACAGATATCTTATTATACAGCATATACTTCAGCAAGGTGAATACAAAGCTGTCCCTCTTTCCTCCCCCAGTATTACAGCTTCCTTTTCTATTTAGGTGATCCATTTCACAGATCTTGGACAGAATGTTCAGCATATGGGCATAAAGTGTAAGTATTTTGGGCTATAAGAAATATACCAAATAATAAGAAAAAAACCCAAAACACCAAAACCAGCAACCCCCAAGAAGACCCAGAACAAGCATCCAGCCCTTTTCTCCAACCATGAGGCATTATTTTCAGCCTTTACAATACTCTCTTGGTATCTCTGGGGTTTACACACAGCAGACAACATTTTTTTTCAGTACTCTGTGGCAGGCAGTATGTTTAACAGCAAGTTAAAAGAAAACTAGAAAATTCTTTATATTTCAAGCTTCATCAGCTATTCATGTTTTGGCTTTATGTCTGTCATTTCAGATATTAGATTGCTGAGCTGGAAGGTATGTCTGTAATTATTCTGCAGCAATAAAGAACACATTCACTAATGCTTTGTATCACCACCTTCTCTGCTGTCTTGAGAAGGTATTTTGTCCAACTGGTGCCTTCACCAAATTTCTGACATTGTAATGAAGATTTTTCAAAATAATTTCAATTTTTTGACATATAATTTCCATTACAACGGGATTTATATTTCCATTGCAATGACAGCTAACTTCTTTAAAGATATTCTTATCAAAAATATTTGCACAGAAAAAAACCCCAACTTTAAAATTCCATCTTTTTATCACTTGGAAAACCTTGACTAGGTTAGGCAGATGAAAGTAGGATTCACAGAACATCATATGGCCAGGATAACTTCAGTATCTTGAGCCATAAAGTCTTACTTTTTGTCCCTCCTGTCTAATCTGTATTAAAGCTCGATGTGAGATGGTAAGTTCTGCAGGTAACAGCCTTAACAGCTGAAGCCACAATGCAGTCATAGCTCAGAAGGGAAAATAAATGGAGTACATACCAGTACTACAAGTAAGAACAAACCAAGTCTTTTTCAGACAAGTATTCCTCTAGATTTTAAAAGGAATTCAGCTTGAGAGAAATATGAGAAAGGGAACGCCACAAACACCCTAAGTACAACATGCAGCAATGTGAAATTAAGGAAGTGAAAACAGATGCAGACAACCAATAAGTGGTTCATTAGATGAAGAAGCAAAAATGAAGGAAAAGCAAACAAGTACCTTACTTAGGAGAGTATTTTATCTAGGACATCTAAAATTAACATGCAGAGCACAGGCTTCTTTCAAAATCAGATAAAAACGGGTAAGGGAAAATACTAAGGGTTAAGATTCTATTTTTGATCTTCAAAAAAGAAAGTAAAGAGAAAGTTTTCTAGAGAGTAACAGTTCACCATTGCTCAACAAAATAATTCACTGTCTGTCAAATAATTACATGTCAGAAGAACTTAGTGCTTTATCCACAATACAAACATGGAGATCATAGCGATGAGTCTCTGTAGAGTAATCAGCTTACAAGTAAAAATGTTGTGAATTAAGTCTGATACCTAACTGACTGCAACACTAGAGCAACATTAATTCCCTAGGTTTGTCAGCATCTCTCCTCACACCTTCTCCCTCCACTTACTGCATACAAGAATGGATGCCCAGTATCCCTTGGACACACCTAAGCTGTGGAACAAAATGACACACACCCCAGAAGCATAAACTGGTACAAGGAGTACAAAGCTTCAAGGACATGAGCTACCAAGACATGTGCAGATGTTGCCAGGACATGTCCCTTCACTGCCAATTGTCTGAAGGTAGAGAACATACTCAGGTGAAGACTGACCTACAGGCAGCCTGGTTTATTCCACCCTGAAATGTCTAGTATTAACCACAGCCAGACACAGGACATCAGTCAAACTGCACTGTTAATCTAGATCAGCACCATTACATTCATTTGTCCCTTTACATACTAAAAATAGTGAAAGCAGAAATTGTTATAGGAAAATACTCCAGAATATTTTGCTATGGAGGTCTTCAAAATTAAAGATTTTTTCAAATTCTTTGACATACAATGGAATACAGTTACTCAGATCTCCACAGACTTTCAAGAAGCCCAGTTCAGAGCAGTACAGAACTGGGCTGCACTCAAAGCTGCTGTTCTCACAATGGCAGGAAAACCACACACATCTCCATTCCTCCAACCAGGAGAAAGGAGATAAGGCAAGGTGGAGTGCCAGGATGGTTCTTCTAGGAAAAAGAATAATCAGGAATGATATTTTATCTGCTGTAGTACAAAATGTTATAAAAGAACTACACTGGACTATATTTCAGCTGGTGTTCATTCCTTTGAATTTACAGATGGCTAATGAAAATTTGATAGAACACTTGAACTGATGCAGCAGCTTTGCTTTCAAAAAATAAGAGAGTCCAATCTACCACAAGGATGAGCACCACTGACTACTACTAGCCGAATTCTATACATTACACAAGTTGGGGAAAAATAAAAATAAGTAAATTGAGAATCTTTCAAAACCTCATCCATGCAAGTAAAATAAGCTACTGGCGTAAGAAGCTGTTTTTTCTGTCTGGCTCAAAGGGACACTGCAGTCAAGGGTAACAAGTCCGTTTTCCTGTTAGTGATCCAAATATCTTCCTTTTATTCATATCCATGTTATTGGTTTTCTGACATTCTGTCCTGCCATATTTTACATGCCTTCAACATGCAGATTTCTTATGAGTTATTTAAGTGTGAAGGCCTGAAAAACAACACTGAGGATTGTCCCAAAGGTACACAGAAGTACTTAATACTCAAATATTCCTTTTAAGGGGGGAGAGAAAAGAAAGAGAGTGAGAGACAGAGAGAGAAGGTGCCATGGGGTGGGGAGGCAAGAAGCTCCTTGTACTATATGGTCAGTTTTACATTAAAGACAAAGAATACCACTAAACACAGGAAGAATATGGAAGATAACAGTCTGAATACTGTAAGTTACTAGTATGAATTAAGAGCAGTTTTTCTAGTTCCCTGAAGGACATTTCTACTTTATTTTTAAAAGCAGAAAGGTAGTTCAAACCCCATCACAAATGGGGAACTGAGGATTCAACCCAGCACTACTCACCTGACACTCAGCATTAAATGCAAATTGTATCTTACTGAAGACTGTTAATACAAGGCAGAAAGGTTTACTTCTGTCTAACCTACACTGAAGCCACAAGAAAACAAAGTGTACTCCCCAAAATTTGCTGATCTGCTTTGCTGATGTAACTCAAAGGAGATAACCAATCTACTCGAGTAGGAACTTGTCACTGCCTGAAAATATGTAAACTAACACCTGTAACTGTTCCCAAAGCCCAACATGAACATTGTCTTCAGTGAGTGGTAGCAGTCCTTCCACTCAAGATAAATGGAAGGAGCAAAGCAGAAGAATAGGACAAAAAGCAAAATGAGGAAGCTGCTAATTCCTGAAGATTTGACAAGGGGAAATCCTGTCATACTGGATAATACAAATAAAAACTATGCACCAACAAATCCCTATCCACCTGCTTAATATCCACCTCTGTCACAATGGTTTACTCTGACTTCTCATCCAAAGAAAACAGACAATAGATAGTGATCCTGGACTTTGATAAGAATTTCCAATTAGTTACATATACTTTCATAGTCTATTTGTTCCTGAAGCACACAAGCTTGCTCACCTCACAGAGATGAAACTGTCACCAACCTACACAAACTTCTTTTGCCTGCTTTGATATTTGGTCTGATATAAGTAACTACTCAACCTTGAAGAAATCCTCATACTGTAACTGTCACTATTCGACTCAGATTTGTTTGAGATTTGGGTTTATGTTTGGGTTTTTCACTTATAAAAGGATATAAAGTTCCTATAAAAAAACATTTCAAATAGCATTAGTCCGTGACATTTATTTTAATTTTACTACTTATAACCACAGTACACAATGAAAGAGATTCTGAAGCTCCATGAGCATTCAGTGATTTTCTCAGTTTTACAGCTAGGAATAGGAAGAGATTAGGTTTGCTCACAAGTATTCCTACAATATTAGTTTGTCTGTACAACACACAAACATAACTGCTTACCTTGCCTAGATATCACTTGCACACTGAGTTGCACTGTTCCATCTGTTTTCACTCCTTGATCAAAAAGGCTTCGATTTGGGTCCAGCTTGATAAAAGCATAAAAAAATTTAAAAATATTTATTAGCCTCACAGTTACAAGAAACTTATTCTCCTTCAGAGTTTTGAAACACTTGGTGCCTGCAGCAAATCTGAAGTGTGCAAACACTTTTAGTGCTATGTAGACATAGTACATGACAGAAGGAATTTGATCTGTATTTGAAACTTGCTGCTCTATTCTGTTTAAGGCAGTTTCACTTAGAGGGACATTTTTTGACCTAAAAGAAGCAAAGCAATATTGGGCAGTATCTTCACTACCTGAAAATTATCTACAGTTCCTCTTCTGAGTTTTAAACACCTTCATAAAAATTCTTGTCTTTACAACAGTATTCTGTTGTTTCTGGAAAAGCCACAGATGTCTGATTATAACAACAAATAAAACATGCAGCTATACAGAATGCAAAACAGTTATACCGTTTAACATGTGGTGGGAGGGATTTCTTGAGTTATGCTTTGCTATCTCTACACCTGAGTAATATAAAAACCTTCTCACTTCACTCAGATTCAAGACAAGATTAGACTCACAGAAGTTCAGGCAGCAATGAATGATGTGGGCTACGTCAAGGGAAAGAAGTATTGTTGTTGCCCTCATTCTTCATTCACTGGCAAGGTGCTTTCTTACCCTTACACCAGGAACAAAATAAAAATATTTTTATTTTATTCACACTGAACTTGTGTGTATATATTAAATGGTCTAATGATAATGAACCTGGTGTAAAGTTAAACTCTTACTTGTAATAGTATTCCACATGAAGCATGAATTCCACAGAAGAGAAGAAAGGGACAAAGTATTTAAAACACTTTTCCATTAAGAGGTTAAATCTTTCTTAGCCTTTCAATTTACCTGGATATCTTGCAGACAAATTTCATGTGCATCCAAGGAACATTGCAGTCTGGGTTCCAGCAACTTCTTAAGATTCCCAACGGGTTCATTGATGTCAATAGCCTGACTCACAAATTCTGCTGTGGTGTAGGTTTGCTCGACGATGCTTAAATACCAAATTAATAAAAGAAATCATTACCTACATGTTACCGAAGCAGGTATAGGAAAGCTTGATAAAAGTTAGAAGTAAACTAGATAAAAGTTAATACTGACTCTGGAATCTTAATACCATGCAAATAAACTCTTAGTTTGGATAGAGAGTGAATTAGTAAATTTGGTCTCGTTGATTTTACAGTTGGGTAACTCTTGTTTCACCCTGTCACAGCTGAAAACCTGGGTTAAATACCAAGATTCTGACCACCTTTTTCAAGGGACTGAGTCATGATTAACAGGTTGTACAATTTTAACCTGCATCTAGAGTAAACTAATTCTGCTTGTCTTGTCTGGACTGTATTTAAAAGATATTCAAGTTAAAAGCAAACACAGAAACTTAACAAACAGGGAAAAAACGAAGGAAAAAAATACTCATTGTCATACAGAGTAACTGTCCATGTCTCTTCACCAGTCAGCACAAGGATAAGCTTAACACATACAAGAGACAACCAGAATGAAACTACAGCAACATGGAGGATTGAAGGAACCAACAGCCATGTGTCATGGTTGTCCTGCACTACAGCAATGACAGTATTACCACAGGCATTCAGAAATATCAATATTATGGGACTACTGTCATAGCAATGACTTTAGACAGTTGGGCTCTCTTCACTTACAAAGAAGGAAATCAGAAAGTGTACAGTCATAGTTTGCAAGCACTAAAAATATACAAGGAGCTCAGAATAAGAAGAAACTAGTAAGTGCTTTTAAATCAGTTCTCTAAAACAGGTTCCTAAAGAGCAGCTTACCTAACCAGCCTCAGCTATTTCTATCCAATGCATTAACTGAGCTCTGGGCTTTCAAACACAGTTATAAAAATTAGGAGGGAAGCATTAGGAACTAAAAAAAAACAGGTGGAGGTAATAAAGTCAGAGGATATCAGACTTCAGTATCTATGGCTTCAATGGCCCTAACAACAATTATAGTCGATACAGAACATCATTTCTGCTCTGTTAGAAACAAATGACCCTGTAGAAATCCAGTATGGCAGTAAAGCAATGGACTGGAGAAACTGGAAGGTTCATCTCTGTTACAGAAGAACACACTGAAGCTGAAAGGTCTGTAGCACATAAACACAGACATGCTCCTACAGATATGACGGTAGGAAAAGAAGTACCAATAATGTAGCAAGAAATAACAGTCTGGATTTTAAATAATTAAGATTGAGGGACATGACAGCACTATACTGATTTCCTCTAGTGGCTACAGTTCAACTTTAAGAAAAGCCCAACTGAATTAGATAACAAACAAAAAAATAAATTAATTATTTAATTAAGTGCTGATTAAGGATTCCAAAAAGCAGTACATACCTTTCTTCAGTGCATTCCTGTTTCTCAGTTCCATCAATTTCTATTTCTATCAGCTCCTCTGCCTCTCTCTTAGTCATGGCTGAAATGCCTTAAGAACAGAGCTAGGAACAGAAATGAAATTTTTTTGTAAGTCACATACCAACAAGACTAGATAATGTTTTTTGTCCTATTTTTAAACCAAATACCAGAATACCCTTTTAAAGCCAAGAATTCATGTAAAAAATGAATCCAAGCTTACACAGATTTCACAAAACAGATGACAATACCTGTTCTTTAAACAAATGTTCTAGGGACAAACCCAGGACTATAATGGACATAAGCATGGAGCCCAAAGCATGATTCTCTTGGAGATACCCAAATTTATTGACTTTTGTTTTGTTTTGTTATGGGCCACCTACAGCAAAGAACATCTGAAAATTCATACTACCTTCCTAGCAAGGCTGAAAGTTGCTGCTTATAAATTTAAGCAGCATTTTACATGAAAAGCTGCAGCAGGAAGTTAGAGAGAAGATCAATGATTTCTTCACAGATAAATAAACTGAACAACACAGTGTTTGTTGACTGTCCTGTCTTTCCACCCATCTGTCCCACGGGCAATGAGTTGACGATGTGCACAATGAATGCATCTTGTTAAGTCCCAAACTAATGCAGGACAGTAGCAATGAAAGGGAAAGCTACTCTGTGATATTATTACTGAGACTGCAGATTTTCATGCCTTGTAGAACACTGGAGTCTGTTGGGAGCATAAGAGGGAAAGAAAGAATTACTTTGCATTTGATGTGTAAAGACATAGCTTGCCTGGTATTACTGAGTTTCACTAACCAGCCCATACATCATAACTATGAAATACAAATGATAGAGAACCAGGCCCAATTATATTAACAGTTTACAATAAATAACATCTTCAACTCATAACAAAGACAGCAGGAATTAAGAGCACAGAAGAAGAAAAATCACAGCAGAAAATGCAAACCACGCTACTATTTAAATATCCACAACAGAAGAGATTATCAAGGTTTCCATCCTGGAATCATTCTTTCCCAGAGACTACTCTATCCCAAACCTGACTGTTAGCATAAGAATCTTACTAGACAAGTTAATAAGGGAACTTATTAAACTTTAAAACTTCTCTAAAGGAATTAATAGCCAACTACATTCAACAGCTGCTACACGAACTGTTTAAAGAAATTCAAACTACTCATCATCTCCTTCAAAACCTATTTTGGAAGATCAGTTGCAAAGAAATCAAAGGCTGCATGTGGTGCCATTCTGTAAGAAGCTGCCAAAGCCAGACAAGAAGTAAAAATTCACCGTATCAGTATCTCACAAGAAGGAAACCCAGAACCTGTTCTGTTCACAGATCTGGCACTGTGAAAATCTCCAAAGTGTCAGGTAGTGTCCATTGAACAAGGCCCTGGGAGTCCAATTCCTATATCCTTTAATCTTGTGTATCATCTTCATGATAAGACTTCCAAAATGTGCAGACAGGCTTAAATATCTAAAAATAAAGACACCCACATGGTTGCAGGTGACCTGTCTGACTGTTACAAAATATTTCAAAACCAAGGTTTGAGCAATGTCCCTTACTGAAAACTCCCCAAAAAGCAAAGTGGTATGATTAAAAAAAGATGAATGTCTTTTCTGCATTAGTAATCAGATTCAAAACCCCAAACAAGAGTAAATTATCTTTTTTTTTTTTGTGATGAAGGGAGTTTACCAGTAAGGTCACAAAAGGGGTTAGGCTGGGATTTCTATTCGTTGACATATTCATAAATTATTTACTGAGAAAACTGCAGACTTGCAGAAGGAACTCACCATCTTGAATGATTTCTGGCAGAAAATATTCAACATTGCTAAAGGGAGAGCAAATATTACTGCACATAGTAACTGTTGAGAATTAGGCAAGGCATTTTGAAGCCCCCATGGATTGGATGCCAGAAGGGCAGCTGGACTAGTAACTGTTCACTCACTTTTCAAAAGCAGTTTGTGTTTGTATCTCTCCAGCTCTGGTGTATTTTTGGATCCCTGGGGAGGTGGGAGAGGGGAGCACAGGCACAGAGAGTAGGTACACAAGGAGGAAGAAAGATGCTTCCACAGACACGAGGAAGGGAGATGATGGGTGGAAAGAAGAACAACATGATGGAAAGTCATTAAATTTCAGAGAAGCCTAAGGGGAAAATTATTCAGCCTTTCCTATGGTAGAATAAAGAGACTTCTCATGATATAAACATTTCACGTGAAGTCTAGCAAAGTTTGCTGCTACAGGATGATGCAGAGTTTGGAAGTGAACACAAGTTCACACAGGACTGAGCTGCCTGAGCCTTTCCTGAAGGTTCCTGAGAGACAAGAAGGCTCAAAGAGCCTGGTTTGCCTGGAGAGTCACGTGGTAGGAACACTGCAACAGCAGCATTTGTTTGGAGGAACGTATAAAACTGTGCTGGATTTGTGGAAGAGATATGGGCACAAACTCTGCTAGTAGAATTAATGTTTGCTATTGCACCAGGTTATTGTGAAGTGGGGATCAGTCCTGGACTCAGATGCATTATCAGCTGATACTGAAGTCAGGCACTGGAGTTATCTGTGCTCCCGAGAAGCTTCAGTGTGTGCAGCGCATATGTACCATATGCTCCTATCCATCCCTATTATTATCCAAACTGTAAATACCAACACAAAGTAGGTAACAAAGCAGACAGCCTGTCCTTTAGAGGTCAGCTTTTACAACTCAGCCACTTCGGATTTACAAAAAAGACAGTGGACAAATGAACGGGGTGGGGGGAAGTCACACCAGATTTCACGTGTTTACCTTCCTTATCCACAGCCCGAGGTGAGAAAATAGACGGGAACTGGGAGCTGTGGCTGTGCAGAACATACCTGGTAGAGCACCAGAAAGCAAACTATGCGAGATCACAGAATCAATTAGGCTGGAAAAGATGTCTGAGATCATCGAGTCCAACCTATGCCCAAACACCACCTTGTCAATGAAACCAGAGCACTGAGTGCCATATCCAGTCGTTTTCTGAACACCTTCAGGGATGGTGACTCCACCTCTCTGGGCAGCCCATTCCAATATTTAATTCTCCTTTCTGTGAAGAAATTCTTCCTGATATCCAGTGTAAGCCTATCCTGGCATAGCTGGAGCCTAATGTCCTCCTGTCCTGTCGCTGGTTGTCTGGGAGAAGAACCGACCCCCACCTGGCTACACCCTCCTTTCAGGTAGTTGTAGAGAGTGATAAGGTCTCCCCGAGCCCTCTGCTCCAGGCCGAGGCCTCCGCAAGCTCCCTCAGCCGCTCCTTCACAGACTTGTGTCCAGACCCTTCCCCCAGCTCCGTTCCCTTCTCTGAAGACAAAAACGCATACCAGCCCTCCAGTGCCCTTCCTTGCGTGCAGGCGGGCCAAACTGGACCCACCCCAACTGGAGGTGCTTGCCAGGCGCCGAGTACCGGGGGCGAACCACCAGACGCCACATGCCCGTAGATTCCCATCCAGCACAGGGCTGTACACGCGGGATAAGCTGTCCCGCCCCGGGGAGGCCTCGCGGAGCTCGGTCCGCGCTGCCCGAGTCCCGCGCCGGGAGCTCCCGCTCCTTCATCCCGGGGGCCCTTCCCCGCGCCCGCCCAGGCTCCATGTCCCCGCAGGCCCCGCTTCCCGCGGCGCCTCCGTGTCGTTGTTTGAACCCGAAACGAAACAAAAACACGGGCCGGGCCGCGCTCACCCGCGCGCACAGTCCGTCCGCGCCGCCGCCCGCTGCGCGAGCAGCGTCCCGCGGAGCGTCCGCGTCGGCAGCTCCCGCGGCTCCGCTCCGCTGCGGTTCAGGCTCAGAGCGGGTCCGAGCGTCCCGCCGGATCGGGCTCGGGCGCGCGGGCCCACGGGAGGCGCGCGACTCCGCCGCCCCCCGCGGAACTACAGCTCACCGCAGCCCCCGCCGGACTACCGCTCCCGGCGGCACCCCGCGCGCTTCCCGCGGCTCGGAGACGTCCGGGACGCTTCCCCTCCTCCGGAGCGGCTCCAGGAGTGCGCCAGGCTCTCCCGGGCTGCTCCTACCGCGCTCCCGGAGGGCGCCGACGGGGCCGCGCGGTGTGAGGGGGACGCGCAGGGCCGTGCCGAGGGGCGAGTCCCGGCGGCACCGCCGGGCAGACCGGGTCCGGGGCTAAGGCGTTGCGCCCATGCGCCAAGGTGACTCCGGGACTTTTGGGTTAAGTAAGTAAGCTTTTTTCGTTAAGGAGATGAAATCATGAAATACCTGCGTTTGTCTGGCGTTGGTTCCATCGCGGTGCAAGCACCGGGGCCACGGCAGAAGCGCCCGCGGTGTCACGGTGCCCTCGGGTTCGGTGGCGGCTGGAGTTTCTACCCCAGCCTCCATGTTGCTTTAAATACCCTTTAAAATACCCTTTAGGTACCTTGAAATACTTTTAAGTACCTTTCTGGTTTAAAGTTCAGGCCGAACCTACGTTGTTTTTTTTTTGTTTCGTAATGCATTTACGTGGTGGTAGCTTAATTCCGTATTCCTGTTTCATTGGGTTTTTTAAAGCCTGAAGTACCAGCGTCATTATGATCCTGCGGCTTTCCTCCCTTTAAATATCCCGAAATACCATTAAAATACCTTTTGATACCTTTCTGTTTTAAAGTTCAGCTCCAAACTACTTTTTTTTTTGCTTGTTTTCTTTGGGCATTTGCATCGCAGTGAGTAATTCCGCGTTCCTGTTTCGCTGGGTGTTTTTAAAGGCTGAAGCACCGGTGCGATCATGATCCTGCGGCAGATTCTGCGTCTCTCCTCCCTGTTCCGCTCCGCTGTTTCCGTGCAGCTCCGCAGGAACATCGGTCTCTCTGCCATCGTCTTCAACAAGACCAAAGAGCTCGACCCCGTTCAGAAGCTCTTCTTGGACAAGATCAGAGAGTACAACACGAAGAGCAAGTGAGTAAAGGAAATTATTTTAAGGGGGGGGAAGCTGATGCCAAAAGGGGGAAAATATTGATTTTGACATAAGAACGTGAAATGTGAACTGTTTGATTTTTGACTGCACTTTGGTAGCTTTGTGGGCTGGCCTCTAAATACTTAAGGTGTTAAGGCTTTCCTGCAACACTTACTGATGGTGTCACCAGTGAGGTTTGTTTTTGCACACCCAACGGAAAATGTCACATTTTTTCCCTTAAAAAAGAAAAAAGTTGGGGGGTTAAGGCACCCAGTTAAGGCCTCTTGCACACTATGTGCACGTACCAGCATGTTGATTTTTACCCACCTATATGCTTTGTGAATGGGGGAAACCAAAACCAAGCGTTTCTTTATTTCTTTTGTCTGGGGTAAACCATTATTCTCCAGTCTTGTTTCCAAAAACAATCAAGAACTAATGGAATTATCAGGATAATTCATTTTACATCTCCGGTTAATAAGCTCATTCAGATGGAATCTTAGATTCTTGTAATGTTTAAACGAACTACTGAACAGGAAACTAAAACTATAGTAATACTCTGTTGGGAATTATTCTTGGGAAGGGAATAAGCCACTTCTTAGCTCTACTGATAGAAGTTGGGTGTTTCCACACCTACTACCAGTCTGTGTAGAGAGGCAGAATTTTGGTGGTTTTATCCATCCTAAGTTACCTGTGCTGGTGCTACTGAGCATTGGTAATCTACAGTTACTATTTTAGTTGTTTTATATTTGTATCCTAAGAAGTTCCTTCTGTGGATTTTTTTTTTGGCTGCTCTTTGCAAGAACAGTTAAACTTTACTAACCAAGGTGACTAATTCAGAGACAGCAGAGGTGCAAATCTGTTTTTGTTAGGAATTTGCACATGGAACAAGAGAAACTAAAAGCCCTGAGAGCCTGGATACTCAGTGTAGTTTTATGTCTCAAAAGGCCACCTCTGTAGCTTGGATTTTCATCACTAATAGCAGAAAGCCTGTACTTTACCCTGAGAACCTTGTTAATGTGTAAGGTAAGGAGGCCCTAAGGTGTGTCATGTCTTGAGTTTCAGAAATACTTTAAATGATTTCCTTTGGTTGGTTATCAGAAAGATTTTTAATTCATACATGGGCGTAAAAATGTAGAACTTCCACATGCAGTGTTAGAACTGAGTTGTTAATCACAACTTCTAATGCTTTTTTAGGCAAGCAGGAGGGCCTGTTGATGCAGGACCCGAATTTCAGAAAGAAATGAATGAATCCCTTGCAAGACTCCAACGGGCATATGGTGAGGGAGACCTAACCAAGTTCCCAGAATTTAAATTTGAGGGTGAGTTAACAATCTCATTGAATTCCAGTTGCAAGTAAGGACGTACTCACGGGTTTTCTTAATTTCCATTTTGTCTTTATTTGGACCATTAATTTCATGTAAGATGCCCTCTGGGAATCTCACCGCTTTCGCACAGTTCACATCTGATTCCACTTGACTCCTTTTTTTAATTATTTGCCTTTTCCAGTAGAGGTCTGGACTTCCTTACACTGATGCTTAACAAAACTTACTGTAAGATCAGGGTATCCTAATTGCCCTTCATAGACCCTAAAAAAAGAGCCCAAACAGAAATAGCCCAGGGCCTGTATTTTTCTTCTCATCCTGCCAAAGAGATCAGCAGATTAGAATTTGTAAATCAGTTGTCTTATGTCATGCAGACTGTGATTTTCAGATTTTGTGAGTTCCTCTGGAAAGCCACTGATTTCAGAAAATGAACAAAGAACTTAACTTTCTTAATTATGAATACTTTGCGGCTGAATTGTATTAAACCTTTTTCTTCAGCTATTTGGATCTGACCTCTGTTTAACTGCTCTAAGTTTGTTTTAGCGTGGAAGGGAAAGAGCAGAGAGCATGAGGCTTGGTGAGCATCTGGCTGCCAGCCAAGGCCAAGCCACCATTGTAATTCTGACCAGACTAACTGGTAATTCTAATTTAGAGTAGGAACACACCTAAAAATATTTTGGATTTCAGTAACATTTCACTTGGGTAGAGTTGCTGTCAGGTTGTTACTTGTGCAAATAAAACAGAGTATCTGTAAAGTAGGATCTATGTTTTTTTTCTTTTTTTCCCCCCAGTTTTAGGGATGTGGTTTCTTTATATTCATATATTCTTTATCTTATTTTATTTCTGTGTCATATGGGAAACAGTGCATATTAAAATTTCAGATTTGTTTTTGTAAGGAAACAAAATTTGTGAAGGTGGGAACAGAACAAAGTGGGGACACACACACACACAACTGTTCTTTTATCACTGTTGCCTGTCCTTAATCTAATTTCAACAAGAGTTCAAAACTGAGTGGTTATATGGATAGGAACTTCAATTTTTTTGTCTTAGGGACAATTACTATAAGCCAAGCCTTACCTCTCAGACTCAGTTTTAAGAACAGGCATTAGTAGCCCACCTGTCCAAATCCCTAGCTCTTCTGAGTTTGTACCTGTGACATCAAGAACTCCTTCCTCGGTGTTTGCATGTGGAGACTGGATTTGAAATTTTCCATTCCTTTCTGTTAATATACAGTAATAACACTAATCAAGAGGAGTGAAGAGCTTGATTTCTTGTTCTTGTATCAGAGTTGAGTTGGAAATATTTTGTCATGGTCAGTAATGTTCTCGTTGACTCCTCCAGTTTCCCTGCTGCCTTCCCCACCACCCCATGTTTTGCTAAAAGCTGTTTTGGCAAATGTTACTAAGTCTTAGCCTTTATGGGTAACTCCTGCAAGGTGGAAAAGACCTCTCTCCACCGTAGTTTTGTTTTTAGTGCTGCCCATGTTCAATCAGACCTTGATGCAAAGTAAGGGGGGGTGTAAACTGCAATGTAGAAGAGTTTGCTTTAGCTTGCCAACTTAATGGTTAGTTTTCTTTGAATTACAGATTAATCATGGTGTTTGAGGATCGAATAAAGAGAGACTAATATGACTTTTCTCTTTCTCCCTCTAGAGCCCAAATTTGAGGAGGCTCCAAAGTGATCTCTGCAGCCGTGTACAGCCATGGAGTTGCTTAACACGGCACCTGTTGTATCTTAATAAATGTGGTGTTTCAGTTTGATTCCAGTGGTTTGAAGAAGTTCTTGACTGTATGGTGAGTGTAGTTAGCTGTGGTCATCAACTCTGAGTGGCTGAGGCAGCTGAGTAGTGTTTCTTAGTGTTAACTGCAAAACTCCTTTGCTGAGCTATATTTCAGTGGTGAGACATTATAACACCAGTAATGATACACAGAGAAGAAACTCCCTGTTATCCTGAGCTTTTCACATCCCAAAAGCTTCTGCACGAAAAAACCTCCATGAACCCTAAATGTGTAGCAGAGCCCCTATGTTAGTGATGAAGGTGCACAGCCAAAAGCATAGGCACAAATACCCTAATTCTGCTCTGCATCAGGGAACACACAGGTGATGAAGTGTTAATCTTACAGAAGAAACTGAAAGCTGTTAATGAGATTGTGAGATTTAAATTTCTGTGACTGAACTACTGACATGAACACTTCAGCTTCTGAGGAACTATTTATTTATATATAATAATGTAACTATATAAACAAACACTTCAGCAGTTAGGGTGTAGATACTACAGCTTGAGTTGTACTGGCACGATTTTTCTTCAGAATGAAATTACATGTGCAGCCTGCAGCAAGAGAGAGGGAGAGACCTCCACATTAGACAATAAAACACTGCTTGAGCCTTAATTAGAGGAAGGTTTATTCTGTCAGGATAGTGAGTTTAATTCTGCACAGCTACAGATTTATAGACAGATTTGGCAAATCTAATACAATTTCAAGGTCCTAGTAAATCAGAATTGCAGGAGAGTTTGAGCCCTTGACAATGGTGGAGATGGAAGTAGTAGAAGTACTGGTAAGGTCATCTGTGGAAGTTACTTGAGTAGGTTGTTCCAAGCTGCAAGAGTGAATCTTGTATTGCTGCATGTATATGTGAACAAAATGAGAAGTCGTCACACAGATTCAATATACAAGTTAATTTACAGTTTTTTTGGTGTTTGTTTTTTTTTTAATGCCATCACAGACAGTTAGGTTGACTAGATCTGAACACTGGCAGTTTCTATTTTCAGTTTGTAAGATGTGGAAACAGTATTTACAGCATAGAGGTCAAAAGATCCCTTTGTGTTGTGGTTTAACCCCAGGTGGTAACTAAGCACCCCACAGTTCTGGCTCACTCCCTGTCCCCTTCCCGCTGCCCTGGGGAGGGGAATTGGAAACGAAACTAGTGGGTTGAGATAAGAACAGGTAAATTGAAACAAAGTAATAATAATTGTAATGGAGAGAGAGGGAGAGAGAGATAAAACATGAGAAACACAAGTGATGCACAGCACAGGTGCTCGTCACCATCCCTCAGCAGCAACTGGCCCCTCCCAGCCACTTTCCCCAGTTTATTTACTGGGCATGACAGTCTGTGGTGTGGAATATCCTTTTGGCCAGTTCAGGTCAGGTGTCCTAGCCCTGTTCCTCATGGCTTGTACACCTGCCTGGTGGCAGAGCATCAGTCACTGAAAAGTGTTTGACTCAGGGAAGTACTACTGAGCAACAACTAAACATCAGTGTGTTGTTATGCTGAATCCACAGCTCTGTACCAGCTACTAGGAAGAAAACTAACTCCCAGCTGAAACCAGGACAGTATCTACTGCTTATTCCATACCATTTATATCATGCCAGGTCCTGCACTTTCCAATACATCACCACCTTTCCTGTCTTTTGATAGATACACAGATATCCTTTCCTTGGTCTATAGACAATCCCTGTAGAAGTCCATTGAGTTCACTTAGTCCATGACTTTTGGCTCCATCTGTCATAACAGTGTCTCCGGGCAGGAAAGATGGTGCGTGGTGTTGGATTGTTGCATGTTGAAGCCAATTCTGATTCCATCACTGCTGTGCTTGTCTGGTTTCATCAAAGTTCATTCTTAATGTCACGATTGAAGGGGACTTGGGTTTGGATCCCGAAATCTGGAGTGGTGGAAGCAGGCACTATGAGGTGCCCAGGCAATGGTGGGCACACAGTTGATACAGAAGTGATAATACACAGTGTTATATAGCAATTAACATCACACAATTAGATTCATTGGGCTGTTCTCACCCAAAATCAAGCCCAGACTTCCCCATCCTTCTGCCTTAACAAGCGTGCCCAGGCCCTTGAGCAAAAGCAATCTCATGGATGGGTTTGCCGTTGCCCAAGGCAGCAATAACCCAGACTGTCTTGCCCAGCATATTGTTTTATTGTCATTACAGGAACTTTTTTCCCTTCCATAGTACGTAGAAGCTTTGGTCAGGCAGGGCCAGCCCAACTGGCAGACCCTCTGGTGCTGACTCACCAGGTGGCCTTTACCAATGCATATCCCAATGTTTGAAGGTCCCCCACCCATTGTTCTCAGGTAGCCTTTAGCAGTCCACTGTATTATTTGATTGTCCCAGAGGTTGGTGCACAATAGGGGATACAATCTACCCACTCAGTGCCATGTTCTTTGGCCCACCTGTCTACGAGTGTTTTCCAAGTATTTCTTGTTTAATTTGTTCAAAGGCTTGGTGTTGCTCAGGGCCCCATGTGAAACAATTTCTCTGAGTCATTTGATAGAAAGGGCTTACAGGGCAGACTGTAGTTTGGAACCTGCATTTTCTGAAAACCCACAATGCCTAAAAAAGCTTAGTTCTTGAAGAAGCAGATTAGAATTTCTTTCCATAGGATCGAGAGTAAGTTCAGCCCTTCCACTCTGCCTGGGAAACTGTCCACTGGAGACTGAAGCAGCAACTTTCCTAGAAGAACTCCTATTTGGGATTGTTTTCCCTTGCAATTCATGTCTGTAGAATTGAGGTAGGTCTTCCATCCCAATTCCTCATGTACTCTCTGTGGGTCCTCAGCTAAAACCACAGGGTATTCCATGGTGTGTACCTTCCATATCCTCCCTCTTGAGCCAGTGGATGCTTACTGTTACTAGCTGAGATGCAGGTCTGTGCAGGTGGAGAATAGAACATAACTTGTCTGAACTGCTGGAACTCCTGGGACAGTTTATCTGACAGTCTTTCCACAGATGAAATGAGAGAGGAAGAGAGGTTGTCTTTGCATTCCTGGAGAAGTGGAGCCACTGCATCCACTGTTGGTAGTGTGGTACCTCTCCAGATGAACATTGCCAGTGGGTTGGTGTGTCCTCTCTACAAATTTCTGCCACATGGGTTGTATGCATAGGACTCGGTCTGGATCTGTGGGGAACTCCGCGTTGTTCAGGTCAAAATAAATCATCTCAGCATGGCTAATTTCCTCAGGCATGGGATTCCTTTCTCTACTGCTGTCCACTTGCCTGAGCAACACAGAACATCTTCCTTGTAGGGGTACTTTTCTTTCATGCTTGACAGGAGTTGTCTCCAGAGGCCGAGGACTTGTGTCCCTCTTCCAATCACCTCAACAATGCCTGCTTCCCTAGAAAGTGATCCCAGCTGCTTGGCTTCCCTACCCTCTAACTCCAAACTGTTAGCCCAATTATCCCAGCACTGGAACAGCCAGGTGGTCCTGCACTCACTGGGACAATGGCTGAAATCTTTTTGTATATCCCACAGGTCATTCAGGGATAAGGACTGAGTGGTTGCCTCTTGGTCTTGTTGGCCTGTCACTGGAGTCTGTGAAGGCACAGTACGTGTTGCTGGATTTTAAGTAGCCACAACACGTCTGGCTGGGGTTTGAGTAGCCACAGATTGTTGCTTAACCCTAAAGACGACCTGGACCACATGCAACAATATGTTGGTTGCCAGCGAAAGGACCAGGCTGGTTTCAAGGGTGGTAAAAGGATACTGAAAGTCTTCAGATTTCTCAAACACTACTGTAATCATCCTGGAGGGGAAAGAAGGTGTTTTATCCCGCAGACTGGCTGTCCGAGGGAAAAAGGCAATAAATGTAATTGTGGATAACTTCCTCCAGATGGCTCCCGAGGGGCGGATAGGACACGCACCAGGCGAGGCTCACGGCCAGCCACTCATTCATATCACAAGCCGGTACGACAAAGAACACCACAATGACAACCTAGCCCATGCCCAGAGCAAACAAATCAACATGGTAACCAGCAACTATTAAACCAACGCAATGACCGTGTATAACAAATTTGTTTTAACACGCTCTGATCAGATCTGTCATTATCTCAACCCTTTTGAGTCACATGTTGGGTGTCAAAAAGGACTGTTGTGGGTTAAGCCCAGCCAGCAACTCAGCCCCACGCAGCCACTCGGTCACTGCCCCCCACCCCAGCCCTGGTGGGGAGGAGAACTGGGAAAAAAAAAAAGTAAAAATTGTGGGTTGAGGTAACAGCAGTTTAATAATTGAAACAAAGTAAAATTTAATTATACTAATAATACTAATGATAATCATAACAACAATAATAATTGTAATGAAAAGGAGAGAGAGGAGTAAAGCCCAAGAAAGATAAGTGATGTACAACACAGTTTCTCACCACCCACTGACTGATGCCCAGCCTGTCGCCCAGCAGCGATTGGCCCCTCCCAGCCAACTTCCCCAGTTTACAGACTGGGTATGATGATGTACAGTGTGGAATATCCCTTTGGCCAGCTCAGGTCAGGTGTCCCAGCTGTGCTCCCTCCCGGCTTCTTGAGCACCTCCTCACTGGCCAAGCATGAGACACAGAGAAGTCCTTGATTTTGTGTAAGCACTACTTAGCAACAACAAAAACATCAGTGTGTTATCAACATTATTCTCACATTAAATCCAAAACACAGCACTGTACCAGCTACTAGGAAGAAAATTATCCCAGTCGAAACCAGGAGACTTTAATATTTTTGTATAACAAGTATTCTTTTGATGTCCCTCACAGAGGCTGAAATCTTCTAAATAACAAAGGACTTGGTATGCTTGAAATCCTAAACAAAGCAAATAAGGCTATGTAAGTAATAGTTCAAATATTTTAAACAGGTGAACAGAATACATTTCAGAAGAAATTAAGGCATTGAGATTGACAAGAAGTATGTCTGAGGCACTGTTGGTTAATGTTTACTCTTTTCTGGAATAGAAAGTCTAAGGAATGCACTGCTACACAGAACAGAAGTAATATATTCATAAATGCAAGTATTAAACAGCTCTGTTGAGCATCTGATTTGTAAGTGCATTAACACAGATAAGCAGATACCACAGCTCTTCAAAACTTGCTCCTTCCCACTCAGAGCAACCAGGTAGTTGGCCTCAGTAAGTTCCCTATAGACATACTAGGTTAAGGAACAGGCTTATGCAATTTAGTATGTTCTGTTTTGATTAAGAACAGGGGTGGAGTTCAGGGAGCTTTTAAGGCTACATTAGTACTATTAATGCTACTTAATAGCCTTAAAGTATGGATTGTGAAATTAAGTTGCTCTTAGTTTAAGTTTTATTTGGAGCACCATTCTTTTTGCACCAATCTGAAAAGCTGAAGCAACCTACAAACAGTTAAAGCCTTTCAACCCCTCTAAAAGAGGGGAAAAAGGGTAATATGTTCAGTTTCCATATTTGGCCAAGCCTTTTGACACCCATTATTCTTAGAGGAATTAAGGCCCAATCTTTTTCTCACACTCACTACTGCCCTGGACTGTGTCTGAGTTAGTTTCCTTGGTTAATTGATATGTAGGAGAAGATGGCAAAGTACTGAGCAAGGTGCTGGCACTTGAAACTATGTGATAGGAAGCTGTAAATGCATCTAAAACTTTTTAAACACAGTACTGAACACAAAAGACTTGCCTTTTCACTTGTAGATTGATAGTTCGTCTTCTTTCTGTTAACAGAGCACAAAAGGAATGCAGGTTAAATAGTGACTTTTCTGGTATTTGTTTTAGCCATTTGTGAACCTTATGTATGAAAGCATTTTTCCAGATTTCCAGTGACCCTTAGGTTTTTCCTCCCCCCTTCTTAAAAAAAAGTTGCAATAACAAAACCCATTGAATGCTTTTAGATACCTGTCATTATCTCATAAACCACTGCAAATCACATTCTCTACCTTGTCTTTTCAAGTCTTTCACTTACACTTTTTATTCAGTTCATGGCCAGTATAAATCACATCATCTTTCCGTTTAGTATATTACCCCCTTTTTTTTTTTAATGCTATTACCTAGAAGTGCTAAGATAAACTTCTGAAAGCAAAAACAATAAAAAAAATACTGGAGGCCTCTTCCAATGAAGCACACAATTTTAGCCTCCTGTGGGAGCACTAAAATAGCTTGAGGAGTTCTGACTTGCTACTAAGAAATTTAAGCAAATGAAATAAATCCATATCAAAGGAGCAGACTAGGCACCATCAGAAAGTTTCCACCAGTCATATTTTTACAAAACACTTCCTGAAATAACCTGTGGACATGGACATGAAGGCAGTTCAATTTGGTTCTGATTGTCTTTTGTCTAGCTTGTAGAGGAGACACATGAACGCCTGTAAGGTGAATTAGGGCTGTAAACTATAAAAGACACATCTCTGCACACTGATCACAGCAATGTAATGATTCACTGTCTCACCAGCACGCTGGTTCTAATACGAGAACCAGCTGGTGTGTAGGATTGGGTTTATTTTGGTGTCAAGAATCATGTAAAAAAGGCCATAAAAATCATTACAGTTACTAAATCGCCAGAAATGTAAGTGAAATTTGCAGTGATTTGTGTACTACATGCATCAAGATACTTACTGGGAAGAGCTTTCCTCTGAAAAAGAAAAAAAAAAAGAAAGAATTAGCACCAGAACAGTTTCCTTCACTGATTTAAAGTCCTTTGAAATAATTATTTCTAGCTTATTCAGCTCTCCAGTTTCTAGGAGTTTCTGAACCAAATATTTCTTTTTGGTGTAATGAGTTTAAACAGGGAAAAAAAAAGATTAGGCTGCTTTTAAGGCTAAATAAAGCTCCAAGTGAATCCTAACAGCAGCTCTGTAGCCTCTGTTACTGAGACAGGTGAACTTTTCAGATCCTGACATTCGTCATCCCTTTTTGCTGTGCTCAGCTGCAGGCACCAATGTAAATGCTACAGAGGGCTGCTGGGTGTCAAGCCTTTTGCAGCAACCCCTAAAAGCAAACTTCCTCCATCACCCAGAGGAAGGGGACAGTTAATTTAGTTTCACTCTCACCAGAACTCAGCCGGTCAGACCTTGTGTACTAAAACTGGCTTGTTTTTATCTTCCCTTTCTTTGTTATTCCCTCTCAAAACTAGAGCGGAAAGGCTGCAGGAACCAGGGTTTGGCTTGTTGCTTTTCCCTAAATTGCTGTTTGGTAGCTGTAAGCAACTGCACAAATGTTTCCATGTCATTCTTGATGTATCTTTTGGAGTAGAAGTTGGCAAAATAAAAATGCACAAAAAATGCTTTAGTAATGCTCTCCAGCTTTAGTGCCATGGAGTTAGAGCCTTCATGAAAAGAAGGACATGATACAGTCAGCAGAATCATAAAATTATAGAATTAGTTTGGGTTGGAAGGGACCCTAAAGCTCATCTCATTCCAGTCCCTGCCATGGTCACTAGACCAGGTTGCTCCAGGTTGGTCTAATCTGGCCTTGAACTTTTCCATGGATGGGGCAGCCACAGCTTCTCTGGGTAACAGAGATCTTTTGTGAAACTCTGCTATGTACAGACATTTTTTTGACACAAGGAAGGAGTGATTTTATTTTACTTACTTGCAAAGTAGCCTTTTTTTTGGGCATAAAATACTCCTAGGCCACACAGTGCCATTACCAGAGCCACAAATACTACAGCAGCAATGATACCACTTACATTCAGGTCATCTGTAATTATAAAACACAAGACCAGTGTTGTAAATTGTAAACATTTCCATTGGCTGGATTTTTCCCTAATTGCTACAGGCACCTGTTTTATCCATAGGTGGTCTTTGGCCCAAGCTGGATAAACTGATTAGTAACACTCAGACATGGATAAGAAGTCTAAAAGCACTACTGTATCACAGCCACGTGAAGAGAAGTGCTTGATGCACTTCAACTGCTTAAGTTGGGTGAAAAGTAAGGAAAGAGTAAGACAGGCCACAGGATACATACTCCTCATCATACTTATCCCAAATAAGTCTTATCCAAGTCACGTGTCTCAAAGGGAAAACACTTTGAAATCTTTGTAAGTATTAAATCAAGTCTTTTCATACAGTTAATTTGCCTAAAACAACTGAAACAGCTGATGGCTCCAGTTCTGAAGAACCCTTCAAATGGGTTATTTACAATTCAATGCTTTTTTAATTTTTAAAGAGCAAGGTTTTTAAAATGGAACACAATAAAGCCAAGCTGTCTGAACAGCTTAAACTCTTCATCAGGCCATACGTACACCTAGCCATTTTTATTCTGAAGGTGGTGGCTTGGGTTAAATGATGACATGGGCCATGCCCATTTCCTGATATAATCACTAAGAGCTTCAGACAATCATCCATTTTATGAGAAACAAAAGCATCAACAAGCAGAAACATTTTCACAGGTTTTTGTGATATGTCCAATTACCTGTTTGGATCCTTACTTTAAGCATACATTAATATATGATTGCGAATTTTACTCGCAAACCTATACATTTTTGTGTACTGGTTGCCAGCAATTTAGGACTCTATGTGAGTATTTCCACAACAGAGGGATTCTATCTCAGTAGCTTGAGGAACACTTGCTCACAATCCACTAGGAGTGCATTAAAAGCCATGACACAGTAATTTTCAGCTAAGTTCTAAAAAAGCACCAGTCAATCACTTTATGAAACACTTGGATGGGATCTCCTCTGCAGTAGTTATTGGAATTTGCTACCATTTGCTTTCCTATCACATCTACAAGAGGTAGTTGTATATTTTGCAAAAACTTCCATGCATTTTGGGTAATTATAGACTCTTGACCCTTCCAGCCTTTGTTAATTCCTTATCAGCTAACCAGTGTTACACTTCACCCATGCTGTACAAGTAGAAAAGATACAGCCAGCAGGCTTTATTTATCTATTTGTTTATTTTTAAGATACACTGACTTCTTCAGTGTTCCTCTGTCAGGTATAAATGAATCACTCAGTTAACCTTCTATTACATCTATCTGTTACATTCAGATCTCACATAAATATATCCTTAAATGGAGGCTTTGCATGAAGAAAATACCCCAGTGGACTGGCACGTTATCCTGTAAGCCTTCCACAAAAGCATTTGGAAACATTAAGGCTCTCATATGGCTGCTGCTCTTCTGTGAAGTTGTGTTTAGCAACCTAAGGGTTGGCTACTGCAATAATTTTATGGTACTAAACTACCTGCTTTTCTCTGACATACAGTGAGATATGTTTGTGCTGTAAGAAAGGAAAGCTTGAAGTGGCCACAGCAACTACACATAAGGAAGTCATAGTATTGTTATTCCTCCCCCCAAATGCCATAGCCAAAATAAAAAGATTTAATTCAATCTGGTCTTAGCTTCTCACTTGCACCATGCCATTAAATAAATCCTATTGCAAGACTGTTTTCCACCCTTATTTTCTTTAACACATACCGACTTGCATTCGCTTCACTGAGCATCTCTGAGATAATCCAATCCCATTGGAGGCTTCACAGAAATACTCTCCAGTGTCATTCTTTGTAACTGTGTTAAATAGCTGTTAAGAAAGAGTTCAAAACGAGTGTTAGAATGGAAAAAAAAGATTGGCATTTCCCATGGGATAGAAATTTTGACATGTCAATGGGTGCAGGGGGGGGAGTGTTTGCTTTAAACAAATAAAACAAAAAAAAAACCCTGAAGGAAAGTGTGAAATTTCAGAATACCTGAAATATACCCGAAAAATACCTGAAATCAGAGCAGTTTGTTCATTTTATCAAAACAACCCCATTTGCTGATTCGTCAAAAACACCTGACACATACTACTTACAGTGCCTTGTCAACTGAAATTTTTTTGAAGTTTAAGCCTTATTTGGGGGGGTCCCCACCACTCCAAAAATGGCATTTTGTCTCTTCTTCCAGCAGAAAAATGCTAAACCATACTATTTATCAAATACTATTACTGTAAAAATGAAAATGAGGAAGCAAGAGGTGGACAGAGACTGACCTCACATCAATTCCAGTGCTTCCCTGTATTCTTTTTTAGACTTGTTAACTGTTTTCCCTTTATTATATGCCATACTTTGAGATTTTAGAAGTGATTAATAAGTTTGAGCAGACCAGCTGATTTCCACAGTGTGATGAAAGATCCCCAGCACCTCTGAATGCTGAGTCACAGCATTCAGAGAACAACTCTTTACTTCTGAAAAACCTCAGCTGACAATGCACCCTAAGTAGTATCAAGATTTTTTTGAAAGATCAGCTAATGGGAGAGGGATGAGGAAGAGACAGCCAGTTCTGAGGGAAAAGAACCCAACAACACAACCCACAAAACAAACTACAACTAAACAAAGAACCTACTAACCTTACTCACAGCCCCAGTTCATTCCCACCGACTTCACAGGCCCTGGATGGGAGCTCCTAAGTGTCACTGGATCGCAGAGATTCTGTGATCTGAGTGCTTGCAGTCCCCCCAAAGCTGCTATTTCAGATTTTAAGTTCTACCAAATGTAGCTCTGTTGCCATACTGAGCACTCATTCTCACCTGGCATTAGTTTTCTAACTGACAAGGTGAAATCTGTCAGGTATTTTCCCGATCCTGCTCAGTTCTCATCGCTGCAGACTCGCACTTCTCCCGGTTTGTCTGCATCACTCAATGTCTACAGCTTGGCACTGGTTTGAGGCAGAGACTGCTTTCTACATTTGTTAACACATATTTCAGCATGACATCGATCTCCAACAAAGACCTTGTGCATTTTTGGATTAAGACCCCTGTGCATCATTGCACTAAACAGTAAATTTGGTCTCCTTGATAGCTGGCTATCACAGAGCTGGTTATTACACTTACCAAAGTGCCAGACTTCTTATTCATGGTGTAAGTTATATTTGGTGTTCTAGCACTGCCTGTTCCTGTCTTTTCCAGCAAGGCAACACCATTCTTGTACCACTGGTACTCAGATGGAGGAGAGCCCTCAGTCTCCTTACAGCTCAGCTGCACCACTGTTCCCGTCATTGCGGAGCTCGGCACATCACACACCGGAGTAGTTGGAGCAACTGGACAATGGAATTGCACTTGTTACACACTTATAAGTACTGTCTGCATGACAACAGATTGACAGTTACGGTGAGGAGGTGAGCACTTGTGTATGTGCTCAGCACTGATGTACCACATCAATGAAATGAGGCACAGGAGAAGGGGTTGAAGGCAGAGTCCTGCTACTGAGAGCAGAGTAAAATTTATGAGTTGCTAAAAATGAGAGAGCCAGCCTCCCCCACCACATGCTGTGTCATTCTGCCTCCAATCTGTGCACTCTCGCCCAACCCCACAGAGTTTGTTTCATTTTTGTTTCTTGCTCACAGAACAGAGATGGGATAACTCAGGGAATCTGCAGCCCAGCAACTGCCCCCTTCCCCACCCTACTATTTAAAAACAGAAGTGAGGAAGAGGAAAAAGATTTTTTCGTATTAAAAGAAGTCAACTGGTTTTTGAAAAGTGACTGTCAGAAAGAATCATAAAGACTGGCAATCATTGCAGCCATTGTATAAATCCCAGGTTGAGGACCAAAACCAATTTGTTACTACATTTCAGTTTAAATTAAAAGCAAACGTTCCCCCGCAAAGATGTGGGAGAACTGTTTGTTCCTTCTCCCATGCAGATGAACACCTCTTTTCTGATTTGTAATACATGAACAGAAAAGGAACTTAATTTTTTATTTTTTGGTACTTGATGCTATGTAGAAGAAAACTAAGGGTGAAAATGTATGCATAGAACATTAAAAGCACATGTCACACCTTAACAAGTACTGATAGTTTTTTCTTGGCTGATTTTAAGATAAAAAGTAAAAATAAAACAAAGTGAAATACTAACTAATTCATATTAACTTTCAAAAAAGTTGTAAGCAACAACGACAGTCTTCCTCCTTTTGGGCTGGAAGAAAGAATGAATAAGTGGAGTTATCTCACTGTTGTAGCTAATCAGAGGTTCGTGAATTTATCATCCTTTACGAAGAACTTTGAGACTTTATTTATAATTTTAAAAGATCAATTTTTTTTTATGGAAAAGAATACAAAAACTACAAAAGCAAATATTTCCTTTTCTCCCTATACAGGAAAAAGAAGAAAACCATCAACCTCTACGACTCATCTGCTGGGAAAAATACCAGAAACAACATGGGAAGAATGTGCTCAGTATTCACATTTCCCTCCTTTACCCAACTGGGGAAGAAAACAAACAAAACTCCACAAAGAGCAACCCCCCCCCAGCAGCCAACACTATCTCTCCTGTAAATAAAGTCCACAAAATGCCAGCTCACTGGTTGTCATTGCACAGACACTGCAGCAGTTTCTCCTTCCAAAACCAGGAGGAGACTGTAGCATATTGGAATGAACTTGTGCTTATGAATATTTAATAAGTGTTGACAGATGCTGACTTTCCAGTGCCAAACACCATGATTGCCTTATCCAGGTTCTCAGCCACTCAGCGGCCTCAGCCTTAGTAGAAATAGAAGTTTCACCACTGTGTAGATCAGCATACTTGCTAAGTTTTGAGAACTGAAACTCACTTTTATATCAACAAAACCTTAATTATGTTCCTTTCTAATGTAAGTGTGACTTTTGCAAAGCTGTTTTGTGAGGTATGCTGTAGAACGTGCATGTGCACATGTATTTATAATCCCAGCCCAAAGAAGACCCAAAACCCAGCAGCCACATGCCACGTGGACAACACTACCTTCAACACCCCAACACACAGTCATTCAGTTTGTTTACAGAAGCCCAAGTAATAAAGTTTGTACCCAACACTGTGAGGGTAATTATAGCCTCTTGCAGGCGTGGATGCCCTTCACTCTTGTCACTGATTTCGCAGCGGTAGGTCCCGGAATCCCTTCTAGTCACATTCCTAATTCGGATTCCTGGGTTCAGCATCTCTGCTCGGCCTCGAAGATCACCTTTAAGGGAGAATAGAGAGGTTTCTGCTCTTTGCTTATAGAATCTTAGAATCACAGAATGGTTTGGGTTGGAAGGGACCTTAAAGACCACCCAGTTCCAACGCCCTGCTGTGGGCAGGGACACCTACCACTAGACCAGGTTTCTCAGAGCTCCATCCAACCTGGTCTTGAACACTTCCAGGCATGGAGCATTCACAGCTTCTCTGGGCAACTGTGCCAGTTTAATGACCCTCACAGTAAGGATCTTCCTCTGTATATCTAACCTAAATTTCCACTCTGTCAGTTTGAAAGCAAATGTCTACAGCTCATTTGCTTATTCTGAAATCGCATACAATTCATTGATACTTTATGTGATATCGTACACAAAACCATTGCTCGTTTGTTCAGTGTTAGTTATCTATCACCAACATATAATGTTTAATCCCCTTCCCAAGACAGTAAGAACCTTCCACAATTTGTCCATTTAGCCCAAACACCTCCCTCGCCCCAGTTAAAAAAACCTACGTCTCCTGAACGTTCTCCAGTTGGAAGATTGAATGCTTTTTTCTGCAGATATTTCAAGAAAATATTTATAGCAGTAGTCAGGACGCAAAAAAGAAATCCCCTTCCACTAGAGAAATGGCAATCACTAACTTAATTACCTTACAGAAAGAATTGTGAGTGAAACCACAGCAAAGGATTTGACATTTTAACTTGGCAAGAAAAATTTGACGGATATAGCAAAGATATTGCCATCAGATTTCTTACAATGAGTTTGGGTTCTTTTAATTCTACAGCTTGTTATGAAATTAAAGTTACATTCACACACCGAACCACAAGTTCCAGTGTTTCTCTAAATCAAATATATGCAGAAAAAAAAAAGTTAATCAACAAGGTCAGCACATCTGCAAGCTCTACAAAGTAACAAAATTGCTGTGCTTTGATTTTACTTCTCAACCTTCGTTTATTGTGTACAAGGTAACAAGAGACCCATATTTTCTCCAACACACAAAGCTGAAGTAAATCCTTTTCAGAACATACAAACAGAAATTCTACTTTTGAAGAGAATACAAATAATTTAAAATATACAGCTGAGTTTATATTTTATGTATATAAAAATTCCTGCATTATTCATTTCCAAGCCTCCAGCTCTACAAGAAGCTTCAGAAATCTCTTTTTAGGATAGGAGTGCAGAGCCTGCAGTAGTTTTGGGGAGTTCATATCTGCATAATTTCACTGTTGGAAAATGCCAAGGATCTGCAGTGCCATTTTTCTTAGTCTTGAGTTTTATGATATTTAAATTCATTAAAAAGGTAACAACTCCCAGTTTTATAAAGAAATGTCTTTTTCCCCTGGGAAAGAAATCTTTACCTTGAAAGGACAGCTGTTCCATATAGACAGTCAAGAGCCTTCTCCTTCAGTCATTTTCCTAGTGTTATTCCCCAAGAGACAGCCAATATCTATGCTAGAGAATGACATGTTAAGCATCAGTCTGTTTGTAGTACTGTACCTGTAAATTCACCATTGTAGTAGACAAATGAGACTCCTTGAGGCTGAATTTTCTTCCATTCTATTCTTAAGCTCATCCCTTTTGAAGATTTGTGTTTGCAACTAAGAATCGCCTCTAGAGGGAAAAAAAAAAAAGAGAGAACACAAATGGGAAAGTTAGAGACTTTACTTGTTTGGTACACATTCAAGCTCCATGAAATTAATATTCCCCCTTCAAAAGAAACTGAGCAGTAAGCAAGGGCCAGATCTACTTCTCAAAGTAATGCCTCTCCACATTTAAACAAACACAGTGGGAAAACAGAAACCAGTAATTTTCCCATACTTCAGTGGCTTTTGGATCAAACTTCAGATACTGGGGACTAGATATTCCCATCTTGGATGGGCAGAGATTCTGTATTACTATCCTTATTTTAGTTACTTTAGTTAACTTTCTTCAGTTAGCAGACCACTGTTAAAAAAGGACTTTTACCCTGTTATTAACAATATTTTTTAAATTACCATTCTGAATTCAGTATTAACTGTTTAAATATGTAACTTAATGTAGACAGAAAACATTCACTAATATGGTTAAACATTCTTCTAAGTATCTTATGTCTATGTATTTAGTCACAATTCCACTTTGGTTATTGTGAGGGTATATGGAAGGTGAGAGCGTGCTTCATTAAGGTTCCCCATCAAGAACGTTTTCACTTCAAAAGTGGTCATAAGTAAAGGGGCAGCAACAAACAAAACCACAGAGACACAAACAGAGATACAAACAGAGAGAATGACAACGACCATCAGTGTCCAAACAGTCTTAAACCCCAGTCTTAAAGTGCTGGGATGTAGTGTGGGCAAATGGAGCAACTGGAGCAAGTGAGGGTCTCTGCATCAGTAACTGGAAGGGCCACAGATACTGGGAGTGTGTGAATCTCCAAGCCCACAGTGCAAGGTTGTCTTTTTACATGAAAGGTGGCTTGAATAAATTTAGGTCCATCAGCTGGGGTCACACTGGGGCAATGTGGGCACCCCTGGACTTGCAGTGCTGGCTTCTGGAAGTGGGGGTGTGCAGAGTATGCAGTGTTTGTACTTTCCCAAAGCTGGTGTGCCCGGAGGTGTGTGTGTAATTCACCAGCAAACCTCCAGCTGGGTGAGCTGCTGAGCAGGGCAGGGGTAGGGGATGGGCAGAGGGGCTGTGCTGGGACTCAGAGGATCCAAGAACACGCATGTGTTTGTGAATCTGGAACACTGTGTGAGGGTTTTTGCCAGGGAATTCAATCTCCACCAGGCAGAGAAGAGGAAGGAGGCTCTGCTGTCTGTGCCTGATGCACTGCGTGAGCCTGGGCAGCAGTGAGTGCTGCTGAGGGCAGTGCCTTGTCCATGGGGGTCAGTGTAGCTGTGGCAGTGTCACCAGTGCACACACAGCCACCCCTGGGACACACACACAGCCTTGCCACCGGCTGAACAGGCAAACGGGAAAGCAGCAGCTGTGCCCATCAGCCTGGGACAAAGACCCCCAGGTCTCCAGGCTGAGCTCCAGTGGCTGAGCTCGAGGAACCCCCAGGCCCCTGGAGTTTCTGGCAGCAGAGGCTGCTCATAACATCCCATGGGAATTACCTCTAAGTTTTCTTGAGTTCTCGTGAAAAGAAGATTCATACAATTGTTCACCTTTCTGTCTGACCACTCAAGTTTCCCTGACTCCTGTATAATAGGCAACACCAGTCAAATTTCACAGAGAGGCTGAGACTTCAAGAGTTACTGATTATTGGATTATTGCTAAAGTTGCCATAACTGGGTAGGAAAACAAAACAAAACTAAACACCAAAATTAGTGCTCCTAATGAAGAACAGGAAATCCTGTGAGCCCAACTGTCCTCCCAGCAGGGCATTCCAGTAGTTCCATTCTCCATGTAAAAGCATACTGAAATATACATATATATATATACACACATATATATATATATATACACACAGACATATATATATACACACATATATATGTATGTATATATATATATATCCCCAGTAAATAATTCTAAAGTCAAGGTATTAATAAGAATTATTTGGAAACAACATCAGAGGAAAGAATTCAGCTATACATCTGACTGGCTCCAAATCTATTAATAAAGTAAAATCTAGTATCTTCCAGAAACTTCTGTAGAAGAAACAAACATAACATAGATCTTCCCACCTTTAGGCCACTCATCTTCCAATACAGGCCAGAGTATCAAGGATCAAAAGCCTTTATAGTTTTGGCAATGCCTGTCAAGCTTTCATGAGACAAACATGCACTGCTCAAACATAGTCAACCTGCATTAACCATCATCCTCTCCAGTCTCAGCAAATGAGGCTGGAGGGCAATTAAGAGCTACTGACAGCTCACCCTCTCACCCTTCAGAGTCTGATTTCCTAGGTCTGCTCTGCAAAGAAACAAAAAGCCAGACTGGTAGCCTTGGTGATAACTCACAGGGGAAAAAATGTCCAGACTTGAAAGAAAAATTGAGGCAGGAGGGCATTCCTTGCCAGAAACATGTTACACACGCACCGGCCGCTTCGAAAAACATACTGTGCACTCAGGAAGCCCAAGGTTCCTGACTTCAGGTTGAGTGGATGGGTGGAGACTTCCTGAATCTTAAGATTTGCTAAAGTTTCCTTTCCATTTTGTTTTTGTATCCTTCTTACAAAGAAAAACCATCATTCAAGCTCAGCTTGCTTTTGCTGCTGACCTTGTGACAGTTGGCCGGTTTCATGAGCTGGTCTCTATTAGCTGACACAGAGACAGCTCAGCTGAAGTGTTCTCAGCAGAACAAGTCACCTCTGTCTCGAATGAGCTGCCCCTTTCTTACATGTCACATGTTTTTGTTTCAGAAAAAAATAGCGGTGATGCCCATTCACTAATCTTATTCAGAGAAAAGGAATGGGTAGAAGAAAGGAAGCATGCACAGAACAAAGACAACATAATAAAACCCTCCTTAGTTATAGTTCCCCTCTCCCACTTTCCCCCACAGTAACGGAGTCAGTGAGAGGTATTTTCCACAGTAGGCCTACTTAACTTGCATTAAGGTAGACCCACAGGATGCTGTGCATCACTACTGGCACTGTCAAGCCTGGAAAAACCTTCTGGGATCTTCGAGAGGTCTGGACAATGTTTAATTTGGATTTACATCTGGTCTGGAGGCTATAATTTGATTATTGAATTATAGAATATCTCAAGCTGAAAGGGACTCTAAGGATCATTGAACGTAACTCCCTGCTCCTCACAGGACTACCTAAAACTAAACTGTAGTCGTGAGTTTTGTCCAGATGCTTCTTGAACTCTAATAGGCTTGGTGCTATTAAAAAAAGCCATTAAATTATAGTTACTTATAATTAGCTAAATTATAGCTGTTCTCTCTAGTCTCTTACTTCTCTTGTTATATTTAATGCTTTTCCTTTTCAGCAGCTCCCATCATTTTGGGTGGAAGGAGACCAGGCCGAAGTTACAGAGTGGACTACCTGGACTGACAAGTCATAGAACCACAGGACAGGTGAGGTGTAAAAGGACTCTGGGGAGCACCAAGTCCAACCCCACACTGACAGAAAATGGGGACAAGAACACGATAACACAAAGTCAATGGAGAGAGTAGGAGTAGGACTCCTCAGGAAAGAGGAAGACAACCTTAACAGCTGCATAGCTTCCGTATACATAGTTTTCATGTATTGTGTATACATTAAAAGTTATCACAGCAATGCCCATACTGTACCCTTAAACTCCTCTGCTTTTACGTTTTCGTTATCTGTTAAAATGGAAATTCCGGACACTTCAGGATCTGCCAGGGGAAAGAAAAAAGACAAATCAGCAATAGACACTTGTAATTTCTTATGTGCTTCAGCAGCTACAGGCAATATTTTTGAGACCTCCTTGCTCTGGATAGGTTAGACATTGTCTACTAGGGAGACCACAGGACTAAGAGCTAGACCAGGGCTGGCCTTGACCAATTCATCTTTTCCTCTCCATGCTCTTGAACCTGCAAAAAATAGTAGTATTTCTTTTTTACAACAGCATGATAATATTTACATGTGAGAAGTTCTCTATAAACAGTAGACGTTGTTTTATACCGGGGTAATGTCTCGGTCTGTTTCTAACTGGGGACACTTCTATTAATCCGTAAGTGTATTTTCCATTGTGTTCCTACTACAAGGCAGGCGTGTTTGCTGAAGAATACCACATACAGCTTCTACGGGGTAAAAAAAATACGTGCAGTAATTGGCAACTACCTCAAAATCTTGTCGAAATGGGAAGGAAAACATTAGACAACAATTCTATAGTTTTAAATCAAAGAGAGAATAAAAACGCCATATGTTCTTGGATATCTCATATATTTGGAATACTGAAATTCCAGAGAGAACAAGTGAAATAACCACTAGTCCTACACCGAGCTATCTTTTATCCCACTGGATCTAACTATGTATCCTCTCTTAAGAGCTGCTCTCCTCCCAGGAAAGGATTCCACTGTGTTCCCTCACAATTCAGAAGTGTTCCTGCAAGGCCTAAGTTACAGTTACTACAATTACTTCACAGCAGGCTACCAAGTGCTTAACAGCAGCTAAGTACAGTTCTTTACAGAGGTGTACTTCCCCCCCTCCCCCCCCATAAACCATCTCAAGTTCCCCTGGGTTTTAGGGCTAGTTTTGAAGACAGCATAGATGCTCCTAATGCAGTCCCTTTCCTCCATCTGCATCAGTCAACTGAACAATTGCTACAGAGGGTATGAACAAGAACTGAGCCCCTCTCCCCATCAACAGTGTTTAGAAACATGGCTTGTTTAAAAGCATAATCTTTTGACTGACAGGTAAATAGCAAGATTAAACTAGTTTCTTTCTCGTGCACACAGACCTCCTTAAGGCATCCATCCCTAAAGAATTAATTTCCCTTTCCTGATGGGGGAAGAGTTGCACACAACCTAACAGATGGATATCCATTCTTGATCTGAAGACACAAACAAATTAAGAATCTTTTGCTTCTTATGGTTTTCTTTTGACAGTTGATTGCTCCTGTTGAAGTGGATGCCTCACTCCTCCCTTGAGTGAGTCCATTTGGGCTTTCAGCTGTGGGTCCTCACAGCTCAGAGTTAACATGCTCTTCTCTTTGTTTGAAGGTATCATCATAGAATCTTAGAATCGTTTGGATTGGAAGGGATCTTTAAAGGTCATCTAGTCCAAGTCTCCTGCAATGTACTCCTTGATCACATTGCTCAGAGCCCCATCCAGCCTGGCCTTCAATGTCCCCAGAGATAGGGCACCTACCACCACTCTGGGTAACCTGTGTTAGTGTTTCACAACCCTCATTATAAAAGCTTTCTTCCTTATAACAAGTCTGAACCTACCTTCTTCTAGTTTAAAACATTACCTCTTGTCTTAACACACAACAGCCCCTATCAGAAGGTTTGTCCTCATCTTTCTTACAAATCCCCTTCACTTTCACAGGATGAACAACCCCAACTCTCTCAGACTATTTTCACGGGAGAAGTGCTCCAGTCTTGGGATCATTTTTGTGGCCCTCCTCTGGACTCACTCCAACAGGTCCATGTCCTTCCTGTGCTGGGGACCCCAGAGCTGGAGGCAGCACTGCAGGTGGGGTCTCACCAGAGCAGAGCAGAGGGGCAGAATCCCCACCCTCCCCTGCTGCCCACACTGCTTTGGATGCAGTCCAGGACACGGGGGGTTTCTGGGCTCCCAGTGCACATGGCTGGGTCATGTCCAGCCTCTCACCCACCAGCACCCCCAAGGCCTTCTCAGCAGGGCTGCTCTGGATCTGTTCGCCCCCAGGATTGATACCGGGGGTTGCTCCGACCCAGGTGCAGCACCAGCACTTGGTCTTGTTAAACCTCATGAGATTCTCATGGTGCCATTTCTCAAGCTTGTCCAGGTTCCTCTGGATGGCCCCATCCTTCAGGTGTGTCACTGCACCACTCAGCTTGGTGTCACCCACAATCTTGCTGAGGGTGCACTCAATCTCTTTGTCTGTCACTGATGTACATATCAAGCAGCACTGGTCCCATACAGCACACCATCAGTTTTCTTCTCCAAGATCATTCCTTATTGTTTAAGTCTGGCACAACAGAGGGAATTCTCTATCCAAACTGTTCCTATGGCCCTTTCCATTTATAATTTTTTTCTAGGTTTTTTTTTTTCAGCATCCTTTAAAAACACAAACTGCAGTTCTATTGGTATCTATCACCTCTGTGAGACAAGGAGCAATGGTCAGAATAGGTACTTGAGCCCCTGGCACTGTAGCAAGAGTTCAGTTACTTATTTACTCTGTGTTGCAGTGGGTTGACCTTGGATGGCTGTCGGACACCCACAGAGCTGCTCTCTCACTCCTCCTCCTCAACATGGTAGGGGCGAAAATAAGATTAAAAAAAACTCATGGGTCACGAGAAAGACAGGGAGATTACTTAGTGGTTACCATCACAGGCAAAACAGGCTCAACTTAGGAAAAAAATAACTAAATTTATTTCCAATTAAAAATAGAGTAAGTGTAGTGGTTGTGGGAATGAGGGTTGTGGTCAGTCCATAAAAGCTCCTCTCTGTTGCTCCTTCCTCCACACACTTTCCCCTGCTTCAGTGTGGGCTCTCTCCATGGATCACAGTTACTGCCAGGAGCCTGCTCCAACACAGATTCTCCATGCTGCTTTCTAGATATCTCACATCCCCTTCCCTCCTTCCAAATACCTGTCCAACATTTCTTGTTTCTAAGAGAACACAGCCTCACACCCAGCAATGCAAAGTGAATTTTTGTATGTGCACATTACCAAAAGATCCAAATTTGTGTGCAACCATCCTGACATTAATATGTTTTACTTTTATCGTCCAAAATAATTATGTGGGAGAAGTTTATAATATGAAAATAAATAAGACAAGAAGATAATTCTAGCCATGCCATTTACGTACCCTTAGAATACTGAAAGGGCAAAAAAATGTTTGCATTACAAATAACACTTGGAATTTTTTTCCACCCCACTAAGAAAGGAAATTTTCCTGCTGAACTTTGAAGTTAGAAATAAAAAAACCCCTAAATGAGCCCCCTCATGGCCTGTTAAAACCAGGAAGGAATAATTTCTCCAGCCCTTCCAAAGCAACCATTCCTCCTGCATGTCCACACACAGCCCAGCTCCTTGGTATTGTCCAGGCTTGGTCTAGAGTTAAGCCTGAAGTCATTAAGTAATTTTCTTTTAAATCTATTAGGTCCTATTTAGATTTATAGAAAGAAAATTAGCTTTTGACTTTTACCAAAACCATGTTTCTAGAACAACACCCCTGCTTTCCCCTCCCTCCCTTCCTCCCTCCCATATCCTATATACTAATACATAAAAATCATGTTTATGTATTGAAATAACACCTTCCTTCATGTGATCATGATAGGGAGGAACATTTTGTTCTGAGACTCTGACAGCAGCTAGTACTTGCTGACACTTAGGTAGGAAGCCTTTCTAGGACTCCAAAGTGTGGATAAAGTCATTTATAAGTTATTGGTACATCAACCCTCTCTGTCTGGACACAAAACAGCTAAAATACATGCAATTCATCACTGTATTACCTTCACTGTTTCATGGACCTGGAAATTTCTCTCCTCCTCTTTAATACAGATGTCATGCAGCTCACTGTCACCATCTACACATTCATAAGCTAGAAGCCACCACAGGAAAACATGTTTTATGACTTCTGGGGCTGGACCATGGTGGTTACTTTTCACTATGGAAGTCAATACAAAATTACTTTGCATGCTTTGTATTGGGAACTTGCAATTGCACAAAGTCTCCATATTTCCTGTAACATGAGGGGATTTATAGAATACATAAAGATTCTATTATGCAGTGCAGTAAGTATAAAACATGTCAAAACAAAGAAACAAGTTCCACATACGCAGAGCCCTCCTCCTCACACACACAAACCACACATATACAGGACTCTCTTCAAGAAGCTGTAGAGTCCAAAAAGTAACTTAAGGTGGTGCAGAGACAGCTGACCAAATTAAAACCATTATAATCAAGCAGAAAGACAGGAGAGGTCCTTAAGCCTAGAGCATCTCTTCCTTTAGTTGCCCTTCCAGAAATACCTCTGCCAATTATTTGGAGTCCAGCACTTCAGCTTTGGAGTTTAATTCACCATATAAGGAGCAGGAGTGAAAAGATGACATATTACTGTACCAGGAAACCTTTTATTCAGCAAATGCTTTTATACAGACCAGAAAAAAAAAAAACAAACAAAAAAAAGCTACTTTTATGTGTCACTAACTCTATTTGTTTGGAAATAAACTCCAAAAATACACACTTTCCATTTGATAAACGCTCACACAACTGTAATCTGAAACTACTAGCTGGAGAAATCATAAAGGAAGAGCATATTAGTCAAATCAAATCAAAGGAAACAGTGTGCCTGGAGGAAATTACATGAGAACAGAATCAAAACAAAGTTTAAGTACAAGAGAAAAAGCAGTCTGTATTTCTTTTGCCAAGTTCTAAATAGCAGGTGGTCTACAGCAAAGCTTAACAAAGGGCTTCCGATGACACTGTAAGTTTAGGAAGTCTCACATCCCAAGAATAAAGCAACAACGAAGCCAGTTCTCTTACTGGCTATCTCTGAAAGAGAATAGGAAACCAGACATCTGTTTGGTGTTAGCATCTTTCAGACATGTGACCACCCCAGGGTAAAGCCTCAGCGACATAACTAGATGCTGATGCAGAACTTCTCAGCCATGGAACTACCTACCATGAGGCACTCCAACAATCCCTTGTGTTTTGTCACTGTCACATCTGTTTTGGCTCAC